TATTTAAGAATAAATGAAAGAATCTGCAGATCGAAGTACAACACTTAAGAAAGGCAATAGTAACCCAGGGTATTTGGGTGAACATTGTGGCCAATAGGCTAATTTTTAAAATTACCTGCATTATTTGATTGAAATGAAAACTAAAAGACAGAATACTTTGAAAAAGTTGGACAGAATTGAGAATATTGAGAAACTAAAGAACTAAAGAATTAAATTTTATGTTGGTTCAAAGGTTACTGGGTAAGTCTGGTCTTATAAAATATGAATAATGATGTACCTAGATATTGTCATATTTATACATAAAAAAATACATAAATTATAACATATTGTATACAAAATTTGTTTGAAAAATATTTGTTGGATTAAACATTTCTTTTAAAAGTTCATGAATTTAAACAAGTGAGTTTGTGGGTAGCGAATGAGGTGGGAGTATAAGTCATTTAATATCTATATGTGGAATCATGTAAATCTTAATGTTGAAGCATTACTTGATGACATCAGTTGATGAATCTGTTAATTATCCCTAGTTCAGTGACCAATACAAATCTTCATACTTTTTCCAATACAAATTCTGAATAAACCGATCGAAAGGGTGTTGCAGAGCTTTCTATTAATATTAAGGCTCTTGAATCAGAGATGTGTTGTGTTTAGATAAAAAAGGATTCAATACTGCTTGTGTATTCCTAGAATTGTGTTTAAAGTGAGCATCTGAAAAATAGAAATTTGATTGCTGCATTAAAAAGTATGGGAAATAAGCATGCATCTGGAAAAGGAATATCTAAGCACTGCAACTGCATGTCAGCTGCTCAGGTTAAAGCATATCCAAGTGAACAAATGTGAGTACATTGTTTTGATGTGTCACATCAAAGTTTACTTAATTGAGCATTGTATGCAGTAATGTAATAACTGAAATCCTTAGCTGAAATATGGTAAATTAAAATGGACAGCTTGTGATAAAACTTTAGAAGTAAAATTACACTTCAAAATTTCAAAGCAAACCAAAATACAACTGCACTTTTCAAAAGCAAATTGATAAGATTTTTTTAAAAATTTAAATTAATAAAAGGTCAGAAATCTGTTCTAGAAAAAGTCTAACCACTTTTATCTTTCTTGAAGCACCCCCTGTCCCCCCCCCCCCAAAAAAAAGATTGTTTTACCTGAATGTGTTGTAATTTTGTTTTGTTTGCCAGTGATTGAAATGAATTTCATGCTGATTATTTACCACTAACAATCCTGGTTAACTTAAATAAAGAAAGCAAAAAATAAAATTTGGAATTCAAATTGTCAGGGTTTTTTTTTCTTATGCTTCTGGGTTTAATTTCTCACTTTATAAAAAGACCTGAAATATTTCAGTGATTCCTTAAATAATTTTGCTCCTGGCTTCATGCCACTGCTTAATTCTATTTTAAATTTGCTGTGTATCGTGTCAGCCTAGGAATCTTTGATTTCACATGTAGCATGCAACCTCTTCATGAACATACATTGATTTACTGTGGAAAGAGATTATGGAACATTAATCAACTTATTGGAAAATGAAAGTTCTTAGGAAGATTGGAAGTAAATGAAATGAAGTGGCAAAAATCTTTTTACGGAAATTAATCAGAAAGTGATGGATGCTACACACATCCAAGACAAATACTTCTCATCATTCTCTTCCCCTAGTGTTCCCTCATGGCAAACCCCATGCAGAATTCAAGTTGTTTAAATAAAGTACAGTGCTCTGTCTGTCAGACAGACCTTCCATGATGATTTTTAGACGGAGGCTGTATGACAGCCTCCGTGTATAGGGATTGTCTTGCCCATGGAATGTAAACAGGAAAGATTTCCCAAGCACCATCTATCGGTGGAATTGTTTTCATTACCTTGAGAATTCCATTTTTAGAGCGACTCTGCATTACACCGACCTGTTTTCATTACCTTGAGAATTTTATTTTTAGTGCGACTCTGCATTACACCGACCACAAGGATAGGCATAGTCTAAAACAAAGATCGCGTCACATACAAGTATAAACAAACAGTTCTACTTTTTCTAAATAAACAGGATTTGTCAAATATTTTTTTTAAAATGACGTGTGTATAAATACATTTCCTACGGAATATGTAAAAAAAAGTGTGATTTACTATTAATTTTTTAATTATATTAGAATATTAGGAGATTTTTTTCCAACAGACGATGAGAAAGCATGTTTTACAATATGCTGAGCCTTTTCCCGCCGGTTCTCACACCAAAACAAGAATGAGAAGAAATGAAGTGGCGGATCTAGAGGGAGTTAGGGGTGGGACGGGGGGCTTAAACATCCGCGGAGAGTGAGCGAGGAACCCCACTTATCAACTGCTTCTTTTATTAAAGTAAAAACTATCTCTAGTTACAGATAAGATTAAACTTTAGTTTTATATTTAATTGTAAAAACTTCCACCTGAATTCGCCTGTGTATCAAACAAAGTGCGGAGACGCAAATGTACCTGTATTATGTATTGAAGAAAATCCCGCTATGTCGCATGCAAATGTTTTATGTCGCAGGTATAAATATAAGATATTTTAATAATAGATCAAGCATTTCAGTTTTAATGGAATTTTTTGTGCTTGATTGTTGTTTGTAATCTCATTTTCATTCCTTTTCTAATTTCTTTTTATTGAAAGGACCGATCAATTGGTTTGCGGCCGATTTTTGACGCTTGCATCAATAGGTTTCAAGGAGTTTTTTAATCTGACAAGGATTGATGAATAAAGAAATGCATAGTATTTTTATATGTAGGAATATTAACAGTCTAGTTTTGAATTGTTTATTTGATACTATGTATAATTTCAGGAAACACATGAAAATAGATTTACACTTTTTACAAGCGGTTTGAGTGTTTGGGGTACCCTCACATTTAATAGATAAGAGAGAAACAAACGGCAACTCTTATATTGAGATCAAAATGCATTTGTAACGTTTGACCCTTGGGTACATACAACCCAAATCTTGGTTCAGAGGATTTACATGATTTATCACATAATATCCTAATTAATAATTAAAAATCATATCTTCTGAAATAAGTTGTCTTATTGTCATATCGTTGATCCTTATTTGCATTTGATACTTGTGTTTTTCCTCTTTCACATCCCAAACTTTAATTATTTTTAATATACAAGATTACATGTATTTCTGATCATTGGTATTCATGTCAATTTCTTTTCACCTACAGCATAGGTAAAGTGATTGTTTTAACAGAGTTACTGAAAAGCAGAAATCATAGTTATATATTTATAACTTTTCTCTACGTAATTTGTAATAATGTCTCATTGTTAATGATTGTTTTAAACAGATAAACTGAAAAGGACAACCATTTCCACTGGTATACGAATAAAGAAAGACATTTTTGGGTTAATCTGTCATATGATAAAGTACTACATTTAATAATTCCAGAAATATTGGTTGTCAAATTTGTCAAGATATACCGGGGTATCTTTGTTATTGTAAGCAATACTCCAGTTCTCCAAAAACAATTTAAACCTGTGAAATAGCGAGTCTTATGAACTTAATTGTTCTGTTTACATAAAGTAAGAAAGTATATTTTATTCCACTCAAAAAATTGTGTTCTGGCACGATCATTTATTGCATGTTAACGAAGTTGTATTACTTAAAGAAAATTCTGTGTTGCTTTCATGCTAGTTCACCCCATTTTGTATCACAAAGGTTTAAGACAAACTGTACTATATTATTTTGTTTATGTCCAATTACCTCAATACCTGGCTGCTTCTATCATAACATTATTAAAATAAGGCCCAGAAATTTTAATATTAGTAGCTGTTACATGTCATAATTATGTTAACAGTAGGTCTCTGTGACCTATAAATAAGATATCTTGAAACCTGGAAACTCCTGACTGGCTGAGGCTTAGTGCTGGATCCAGAAAATCTGAAATAGGGAGGGGGGGGCAGTTTGAGGTCAGAGAAGGGGCCTACAACCACAATTAAAACACTCATTTATCAAATATTGGATATTTTTTGGACTCAAAAGGGAGGGGGCCAATTTTAGTCCGCCAGTGGGCTCATGACTAGAACATACTAAACCTACATTCATCAAACCGGGCATGGGGGCATACAACTTAGACAAGCTCACTTTTGATCTCAGTCTCACTTTTTCACTATATATTCCTTAAGTGAGACTGGGATAAAAAGTTATAAGGTTATGTCAACCAGGCCTAGTCAATTAATGTTTCTTACGTTGAAATTAGGTTCAATATTGAAACTATCTCATCTAAATAACAGTGAACTTTAATCAAGGCGACCTGGCGAAGTTTACATTACAAAGTTGAAATTATAATATCCCCAAAACCTCATGAATATTGGAGTATCCTTTGAAAAATGTGTTGAATTGAAATAAAAAAAACTACACATTATTTCTCATAATATTCTTTACAGCAATGTATGACATATATATTTCTTTTGTGTTCTCTCATACATGAAGCCTCCGTCTAACAGTACTTTCAGTACTTTGATTAAATATCCCACAGTTCTTGGATTCCCAGGAGACAGGAAAGGGACAGTAATTAAAGTATTAATGTTTATAAAACTATGGATAGGAAAACCATTTAATGGCATATCAGTAAAAAAAAAGTTTATATCTTGTCAACTTTGAAAACATGTAAAAAAAACATTCTTGTGTGCTGTTGAATTGTAGACAGTACATCAACCCCCCCCCCCCCCAAGGAAGTGTTTTAGATCTAGGTGCTGCTTTTCTTTTCAGGGCATAAGACCAGTAGAGCTACATTCTTATCAGGAACCACTGGTTAATTTATTAAAAGAATGCAATTGTAGCCTCCAGTTGCTTACATGCATTTATCATTTTATGATGGAATCATCAAAACTCATGTAATATCATATTAAAGAATTCGTAAGTCTGTGTCTTTAGATTAATTTAGATTAGAGAAATAATGACAATAATTTGGAACTTTGTAGCCTATGGTTCATTTGTTTGTTTGTATTATTAATGAATGTACTCTTGTATTTTCAGTCACAACAGTCAGGTCTCTTCCTGGATTCCTCCCCTGGAGCACTGGGACCCTGGGACAGGGGGACAACCTTATGGATGGGAAAGTGCAATAGACAAGAACGACAAGCAGTACTACATCAAGTAGGTACCTCAAATATACCAAAACAAGGTTACATGTAAATGTCCCCAGACAACCTTATAACCTTATAAAGCACTGGGACCCTGGTACAGGGGGGCAATCATATGGACAGGAAAGTGCAATAGACAAGAACGACAAGCAGTACTACATCAAGTAGGTACCTCAAATATACAGAGGCAATATAATTTTCATCAAGAACAAACCTTATAAATTAAAGATTGGAAAGTGCAATAGACAAAAATGACAAGCTCTACTACATCAAGTAGGTACCTCAATATTTTTGCTTTCATGGAAGGATATTCAGTGTAAGACATTATAGTCTACCCCACAGTATCACATGACAACACTTTCTATCTGAACTTTTCTGAACCTTCTGCTTTGATAGGAACCCTTAAATTCAACTAAATGATATTGATATGGCAGCAAATTCAAGGTTTACAGAGATTTAACATTATGTAGATGGCTGCTACTATGGAAAGGGATACATCATTATTCCTGATTTTCCATTGCTTGTCATCAATAACTTAATGATGTAGAACACATTCAGGATCAATTAGCTGCAATAATGTAGCCCTCTCCGATTTTTTTTATCTGCATGATGTTTTCTCCCAAAAAAAAAAAAAAAAAAAAAAAAAAGAGGGAGAGGGCTACATTATTGCAGCTAAGGATCAATCGATACATCACTCTCAAAAAATATGTAGAAATAAGGACATCTCCCTCTCTTGCTTGCAAGCAGTGGCCAACATTTACATTGTATACCTGTAAACTTTGTAAAAATCTTGTAGTACTCAGGATTGTTCTTAAGTACTGAAATTAACAGGGGACATTTGAAAGTAGAAGGGTTCTGGGTTCCAACCCTGTGGCGATTACATTTTATAAGCAGGAAAATTCCTTGGCTTGGGGACAACCCTCTACTTGTTTGTTTCCATTTGTAAGTATCTTTGCAATCTAAAACTGGTTTGGATATGTCCAAGCTAATGATATCTTCTTTGAAAACAAGTCAAAATTTATTATCTTTTTTTATGTGGTTGAAGTATTTACAGTCAATTCTAGAATTATCGCCATTCGATTCATCACCATTTTCGAAATACCGCCATGATTTCCCCCGAATGTTTTTCGTGGTTTGTTCCCGTTTTGCACACATTTGAATTACAGGTAATTAAAAAATGTGTGCAATACGGGAATTTGACCAGGTGAGATAATCACTTAATTGCTATAGTCTATACCCTACAAAGTAAAGTAGGTGAAAGGTGAACTTATAGTGAAAAAATAAGAGAATAAATACAAAGTTATTTACAATTTACTAACATTGAAAGACACAAATTTTTAATAATTAAAATTTTTTGTAAATACTTTGATCTTCGAATTATCTGATGATCTTAACATCTTCTTGGCTTAGGCATTATTTTTCAAATTAATTTTAATTCCCTTTTTTCTAAATTATTTGTTATATCTTTAATTCATTTAGAATTTTATCAAGATTGAAAAGTTTTCCGGTAAATATATATAGAATTTTAATAAAATGCTTATAAAATTGTGTTAAACCTCTCAAGAATACATTAAGCTAAATCAGGTATTCACAGGTAAATCCAGGTAAATCCAAACCAAAAAATCAGACTATAATTGCTATCAAAACACACTTCTCGCCTATTGTTCTATACTTAATTATCCGAACTGTTATAATAATTTTGTTTTCTGTGTTTAATAAAAATCATTTAGTCACACAAAGTGGTCGTTTTTGAGTAATAACATATTATGTTGTTCTCTGCTTTAAGCAATAATTGCTTAAAAAATAATTATACAGTATAAATGGTGAACGTTTCATTAACAATGATCCCATAAACAATGAATTTATTTAAGAATTCATTTTACAATGTATATTATATGGCATGATATTTCACATACACATGTACATTCAATTTTAAGAAATTTACATAAAAAAATTACTTGAAGTATTTTCAAATTTAGAAATATGTTTTTATATGTGTATGTACATGTATAATAGAATGAAGAAATGGTATTTCGAAATATTCTTGAAAATGGGATATTCAATTCATCACTAATTTGCACTGTACAAAATGTCAAAATTGAACAAAATTGCTGCATTTTTCTCTCTTTTTATCAAATAGAGAGTATAATGAAGGAAAAAACAAATCACAATTATAGTTTGTGATGTCACACAAACTATCACATGTACAACAAAAATGTTGATGTTTTCTCTCAATCATGATACAATTTAAAATTTTTTTTTAACATAGATATATTGTGTTTGACTATTATGGGTGCAGGGATAGGCAATTATGTCTCTGAAAGAGATTTCTTTTGGTACATCCTGAATATATGTGTAAATTTGCTCTGCCTAAGACTTGCCTTTTGTTGACAGATTTAAATTCAAACTAGATTTCTTGTTTTGATTTTTCTTATTTTATACTTGACAACTTAACACCAACATTTCACATCAGGATTTAAGATTTCGTAGAAGCCAGAGATTCAGTATTATCATTTCATGGCGTGTAAATGTTTTCAATGAAATGGACATATCCTTTTCAATCTTCGAAACGTCAATATGGCTCTCTAGTTTTACCATGGGTATTAGGCCTGTCCAGTCCAATTTAATGGGAAAACGGGGGCCACTGCCCTCTAACGTCTTGTTTGATTAGTTTCTCTTGGCCAATCAATGCAAAAGCTTCACTTATCTCAATCATATTTTTCCTGTGCTGCTTCAAACTCCAAATCCAGTGATTTTGGTGAAGGAAGAAGGGGGGTGGATGATGGAGAAAAAATACCATAGAACACTAAAGACAGCTCAAATTATGTTTAATTTATATCTGTTTTCTGAGAGCCCTAGTAGGTGGTAAGGTAGAACAAATAAAGAGCCCTTTGGTACCATGAGCCAGGCTCATTAGAACACGATATCATAATTAATGTCAGAGAGGTGAGATGTATGTCTCTTCTATACCTATGATAGAGAACATTAGAGGCCCATAGTTGACAAGTCTACTTATGAGACTGTTCATCGAGTAAGATATCCACAAACCTAAGTCAATTTGAATCGGTTATATGACATTTAAGTCTATATTTGACTTACAGTCAAACCTTGTTATCTCAAAGTCAATGGGGCTGATGAAAAACAGGGATAATGAAGTATTTGATATATCAAAGATTAGAACATTGATATAGGTATACCTGGTAAATATGTTCTAACATATGTTCTATACCTCTAAGTTTCTTTTTAAGCGCTAAGCGCGCATGCGCAAGCGATTACTAGGGTGTCTTCAGATTCCGTGATGATTTGCATGATCTTTTTATCAACGACCTCTACCGGCCGTATATATGGCTGCGTTCAGTACCATAGTCTTTATCTGTATTAAAATATTTTGATGCAGAAAATTCCTTTAGACTGAACGCTTGGGTGTTGTGGCTATTTCATTCTTGTCAGCATGTTTTACATAGTGAAGAAAAAAAACTGAAGCATTTTAAAGTAAATCCGCCAAATTGAGTCAAAGGAAAATACTCACGAATTTTAAAATGATATATTTTTATTTCTAAGTAGAAGAGTACTAGTATTTAATTTAACATTTTTATTTTAAAAAGAAATATTGAGCTTCAAATATTACACGAGAAAAATAATGGTCAAACGTTTTTAATTTTCGGTACAAATAAATTATAATTCATGTGCGTGAGAGTCAGAGATGAAGGATGAAGGATAAGAATGTTTTTTTTCTTATCAAAAAGACAAAATTTAATGCAATATCCTTATACCCAAAACTGATATTATAGCAATGTAATGAAAAAAAAGAAGTAAAGTCTTCGGGGATTTTTGTTACATGTTGATATCAAGAAATATTGAAAAAAAAAAGTATTGTTGTGTTATTCAACTGTAGCATATTCAATACAAAATTTAAAAGTTCAATTTCTTTTCATTATTTGTATACGCAGTAACTTTTATTGATTGCATTTATATATTACAAGTTGCCATGCTATGATTTTTTTTTAAATTTTGATATATTTTTGGCAAACACACCTGATTACCGTGCTTATATTTACATTCTCTAATTTTCCTTCTTCATAATTGCTTATTACGTTAACATTTAATGTGAATTTAGCGCCCTTCAAAACTATCGTGGTTAATAGACGTAAAAGCCGTTTGTGACGTCAGATGACGTTAAGTGACGTTGCAGAGTTAAATTACGCAAACAAACATTGCGATTAAAAAAGTGACAAATTAATTCTTAACGCACATTACGTTAATTTCTACGTTAATTTTTCAGGGTTGTAGTTTTTCATTAAATTGAAATAAAACATTTTACATTTTGGTGTTTCTAGAGTATTGAAAATGCATATAGTTCCTACTGTGTATTCTAACGCGCGGTGACAAGGTTTCGCGTGTGTTATAGAAATATATTTACATTCGCTGTGTTTTTCTCCTAAGCCAACTGTGAAATTGAAAAAAAGTGACAAATTAATTTTAAACGCACTTTTGTAGTAATTTTACATTAATTTAACAGGATGATATACTTTGATTAAATTAAGTCAACACATTGTACATTTTGGTGTTCCTAGATTAAAGAAAATGCATGTAGTACCTACTGTGTATTCTAACGCGCAGTGACAAGGTTTCGCGTGTGTTATAGAAATTTGAACGTCGTGGATTTCAAATGGATTTGATCCATGTAATGTAAATATTTTCAAGGGAAATATACACTCTACAATGAGACTGCAGTGAATTCAGTAAAAATGCAACAATATAGAAGGGAAATTCAAATTTGGTATTTTTTGTTGCTTCCAAACATGTAAAGTGTAAATATAAGGAGTTTTGTGTGAATTATTGGCGCGCAAATATGCCTACGTGGTTGTGTGATTCACACACCAATAGCTTTTCCTTAATTGTGTGGATTTCTAATGGATTTGATAAGGAAAATTATACTGAATGTAAAAATAACCGTTTATATAAAAATTATAACTTTATAAATATCTATGACTAAATAAAAACAGTTCAAACAAAATTTTAAGGCATTTTAAAAATCTTTTATTCATAATCCTAATTCTATTTTATCATTAAGGATGTTTTAAATGGACCAAATAAAAAATAATATCTCATTTCTCCTCGTGCGCTTTCAAAAACAACAGCCAATAGATCGATTACCTATGCAGCCGATAATAACAATGGCAGACATGGTCGTCGACCGTCAATTTTGAATTTTAGTAAGTACAATTTTTTTGAGAGAAAATTTATTGTTCAAAATTTCACTAGAAGGTTTTCAGCAACATCTTTGGTATTCAAAATTTGCCCCCCCCCCCCCCCCCCAAAAAAAAACTCCAGCTTTCCAGCTAATGTAGAGCTATATACATAATCTGAATGAGATGAGTCAGAAGAAAAAAATCGTACTGTAACATTGATATAAATTTAATTTTATCGCAGAAACCTTGCAACACAAGTAATCTTGTTGTCCGGACGGGTAACTGTGTTACTGCCCTATGGTGTGACAAACAAAGAAAAGTTATAAAAGTAACTCACTTGCGTTAAAAAATTGCACAGAGATAGTAAATTAGATTCTCTTTGTTAATTTTTTTTTGCATGTTTAAAAACGTTGTTATTGTAATACAACTTACATTCGATGTTATTTAATGTAACAGTCAAGTCAATCAAGAGCTGGGTTAATTTCAATTAAACAATTGAGTTCTCCGCCCCCCCCCCTTCCTTTACAGCTGCACCGTCAAAATATTACATGTACCTATTCCAATGCGATAAGGAATTTAAATTCTGATGAATTTCAAATTAAAACCATGCTTAGCGCTTCCCAGTACTCTCAGTACTTTGATTATTTTTTGCAGTCATTTAGAAAAATATACAACACGAGATGACCCACGAGATGATCCAGATTATGTGGAACCTCCCAAACCAAGGGAGATAACTCTAAATAGGGACCCTCAGAAGGGCTTTGGTTTTGTGGCAGGGAGTGAGAAACCAGTGGTTGTGCGCTTTGTGACAGATGGTCAGTACATGTACATGTTCAAAGCTTAACTAACCCCACCCCATCCCCACTATTTGGGTTTCTTTTTCTATACATTTTTTAGAGAAAATGTTTTCATCAGCAGTCTCATATTCAGATTTTTTAAAAAATGCTTATTAAATGATTACGAAATATTTTAAAAGTATTTGACCATCTAAATGTAAGCTTTTGATTGTTTTATATGTTGAAAGTTTATAAGGTCATATTATGTGTGTAAATTTGAAAAAAACAGATACAGTGTATGGAAATTTTCCATATCGTACTTTATTATTTATTAAATATTTGTTCTAATTTTTAATTCATTTATTTTTTTCAGGGGGTCCTAGTGTAGACAAACTTTTGCCAGGAGATCAAATTATCAAAATCAATGGCGAGGATGTGAAAAACTCACCCAGAGAATATGTTATAGATCTAGTCAGGTACAGACAAGAAAACGAGTGAGAGTTGGCACCCCCTGTCCTGTTTTAAAAGAGTTGATCTTGAGCATTTTTTTTGGCGATTTTGTTCATACTTTCTTCAAGTGTTGTGACAATAGGCATCTACTATCGAAAAATTGACTCTGAAGGCAACACATGGGTGACATTGATAGAAAACTTAAAACCATTCAATACCCTTGGCATCAGCATTGCTTTAAGCATCTCAGAGTAGTGGGCTATAGTGTTTTTCCTAAGAACAAGTCTTCTGACCAAGTTGACTTCAATTGACAAAAATGCCTCTTTGAAATAAAAAATTGTTGCAAGGTCTACAGAGATTTTGTTCTTAAACTTCAGCCCTTAGCCTATTAAAACTGGATTTACTGAAATCTTACTAACTGATACTCTAACTCTTATTCTTTACTCTGAAATAAAGGGAAAACACTGCAGCCTAAACTTGCAAAGAGGTTATACATTTGAATGTTTGCTGACTTCCTTTAGACTTTTTACCTAAAATACATGTACTGGTAGATTTTATTGATGATAAAACTCTTATTTAAATATAAGTTATCTTGTTATAATGCTCAGACCTATGCTAATTGAATATAAAAACTTAAAAAGGAGAATAGATTTTTAAGGGATATTTTTGTACAGTACTATTTTCATGTTGCAGATCATGTAAAGTTTCCATTTCACTGACTGTATGCCAGCCTTATTCAGATAATGTAAGTATTTTATTTTTCCAAATTTTGCTTCAAAAAAAAAAAGATTTAAAAACATGTTGCTTCAAGCTTACATTTATTTAATAGAATGTTAAGATATAATATTCAAGTAGTTATTATATAAATTTTAACAAACTTGTATTCAAAAAGTCAAAATTTTTCCTCTGTAGGTAGAAATACAGGTTAGTAGAAAAATAAACAAGCACTGACAAACTCATAGCTATTATTTCAGTGTGTATTTTCAACATTTATAAAATATTTTGATTGACAATCAAAAATTAACAAATATCACAGATATCTTATTTTATGTATATAAAAAAATAAAACCTTTTGAAGTTTTGGTAAAAAAACTAACTTTACACTTGGCTTGGAATGAAATCTTATGTTGATTCAATTCATTTCTGTGTAGGAACACGATTAGGATGTAGATTATAATTGTCTCTAGGAATAACAAAATATCACTTGCATGTGATAGAAATGTAATTTCTATGATTGTTGTGGCACTCCAATCATCATTGCAAACTGCTCTACAATCCTTATTTACTTGCATTCATTTTATTTTCAGTCCCTTTTCTGCTTGCTTGAAAAAAACCATCATTTCCGTTATTCTAGTGAATTTAACGATTTTGTAACATTTTTTTGTGTAAAAGTTTGGATTCTGTAATGAAGTGGGGAGAGTTGTGATTTAATTACTGTTTTATTTTTACAGTCCACAAAGAAGTCTTCATTATTGACAGCTGCTAAAAAAGCCCGGCTGAAAAGTAATCCAAGTCGCGTCCGCTTCTCAGAGAATGTCACTGTTACCATGGTGAATGGTGCTCCACTACAAAATGTAAGCCATGTGATTTTTCTCCACAGAAACAAAATGTCTGCTACCATTTCAATATCCTAGACTTAATTTCAAGACAAACTGTGTCTTATTTGTTGTCATTTTTTATATAACATGTATGTATTTGTTACAAGGAGAACAATTGGTTAAGTAGTATTTTTGGTTTGTGTTTAGACAAAAATAAATTTTATTGTTTAAACGTACAAATTACTGAAGAACTTGGGGAAAGTATTAAATATCAACTTTTAAGGGATGTTCATGTATTACGTACTTTCCATTAGCATTGTGTTATGATTTAGCTTAACAGTTACTAAAGACTCAAGATTAGAGTTATACAAGTATTTGCCTTTTAGGGCTGCACTAACAATATCAATTTTGCCAATTTATTGCAGCTCCTTGACAAAATTTTTGCATAGCAATATATGTATATTTTTTCACTTTCAATATTATTGCTTACTTTCAGCCCAATTCTGATGAGAGTTACATCCCTTTCATGCCAAATGTTTTAAAAGTTTTTCTTGAAAATGGACAGACCAAATCATTTAAATATGACAACAAGACTACTGTCAAGGTGAGAAATAACATACAGAAATTGTGACAATTAAATTCATTACCAGTATTGGTGATTTTGCCTTTAAATTGTAAATGTCACATTTTTACAACTTTTGTCATCACAGGCATTTGACAGGCATTTCTCATATTTGTTTCTTTGGGCATTGTTTTGTTTTGTTAAAAAAATAAAAACAAAACTAAGAAACAAGAACAAACTTATTTTAACTTTTCAGGATGTGGTACAGTCGTTGAAGGAGAAGCTGAACATTAAATGTGTCCAACATTTTAATTTGGTGCTACAGAACATGAAGTCCCACAGTCCAGGTCACATGACCCTCCTCCAGGAACAGGACACTCTCGCAGAGGTAAGAGTTGTATATCTCAATATATATGATTGTTACTTTTTTGATACCTAGACAAGTAACTCTGTGAGGGATTTTCTGTGTGTAGGCATTGTTAAGATTGTTTTGTTAAAAGTTGTATGATTTAAATTTATCATATATTAAGTAAAAGCAAAATTGAGAAAATTCATTGTATTATTCAAAACTAATATTTTATCTGATTTTATGGCACAGAAATTACAAAACTATTCACTGAGGGGTATTTGTTTGACTTGAATATTAACCTTGACTGCTAAATCATTTCTCCGCAGATCGCTGCTAAACCAGGTGCTAAACATTTCCGCTGTCTTTTCCGAGTGATGTTTGTTCCAGTTGATGCATATGATCTACTCAAAGAAGATCCTGTAGCTTTTGAATATTTTTATATGCAGGTAAATATTGTTTATATATATTGAGTGTATTTACCTGTACTTTTTCCCATAGATCAAGTTTACTATTGAAGGACCCCAACATATTTGTGTAGCAAAGAATTTTACTAAAAATAATCAATTAGAAAAATATGAAAGAAGAGTTACAGACGTCTTTATGATGAAATATTGATCTTCTTTTTCAAGACTGATAAATTTAATTGCCTAAGGCATCAACAAGACTATGTCCATGATTTTTATGGCAATATTTCATTTACAAAAAGTTCTTTCTAAAGTGTCTCCTCTCTGATTTGATTTTGTTTTCATTTTTGCAGTGTTGTAATGATGTGGTAAATGAAAGGTTTCCAGAACTGAAGGGAGAACTTGTGTTCAAGCTCGCAGCACTGCACATACAGCAACATGTGATGAGCAACAATAATGTCGCCAGCAAGATCAACATTAAAGCTATTGAGTAAGTTACAGCAATAGCAAATGTTTGCTTAATTAAATCATTAATCAATGATCAGCAAATAAAAGCATGTGCAAATCTGACAGTAACATATAGCAATGATATAAGATGAGGCCTATGTGTAATCCAAATCTGCTAAGTTTGAAAATATATAGGGCATATGTAAGTACATCTAGCTTTAATCAGACTGAAGAATTTGATTCAGCTACCAAGCACAATCCTAAAAAACTTAATACTTGTGATACATAAGTGTTTGTTTATCTCGATCGACTCTTAGGAAGGAGTGTGGGATGGAGAAATTTGTGCCATACAGTCACCTGGAGCACCTGAAGCCTAAAGAGCTGAGGAAGATTCTGACCCAGCAGCTGAAGATGAACCAGAGCCTGACGCCCCCCGGACAGAAACAGCTGTCTTCCATGCAGGCCAAGCTCCACTACATGAAGATTGTCAGCGAACTCAAGACATTCGGCAGTCGAATATTCATGGTTACTCTATTGGTAAGAGGGGTTATCTCCCTTGATGGAGTGAACTTTTAATTAGTAAGACTTTTTGATAAAGTAATGCTGCACAGTTTTTGTGAAATTTCATGTTTTGACACATTTTTAAAGCAATTACTAGCTTATTCTTTTTGTTTTGTAGGATAAAATGACAGAAGCTATGATCTTGGTTGGTCCCAAGTCTGGTATTGGCCTCATAACCAACATCAAACTTTACTCGGTAAGTTATCAGTGTATTTAATTAACAGATCCTCTAATTAAATGAGTATCCTTGCATGTACCTTTGGTGCAAGTTACTTTATTGTAACATTTTTTTATTCTATGTAGATGTCTGTGCTGGCTGAGTTTGACCAAATTCAGAAAATTAAAGTTGCCAAAGAAAAGGACAATATACAGAGAGTAGAAATCACCATCAAAAGTGACAATCAGGAAGCAGTATGTATTTGATTGTAAATGTTGTCCAGTGTTTGATTTCACATATAGAAATAAATGTCCAGTTAGTTTCTTTTTCTGGGTGTTTTGACTTACAGCTATAATTAGATAGTGAAGCAAAAATTGACTATTTTCAAAGTGATATGGTTTTATTCAAATTTCCAGATGTTGAACTTTGGACTTCTGAAGGACGACGCTATGAATTTTGTTGCCATGGTAGAGGGTTACTATCGGATATTTGTGGATGACAATGTCTGTCTGGTGGAAAAACCTGCCAGTAAACAGAGCTCAGACCCCGATGGTGAGTCTGTCTGTAAATCACAGCTTCTATTGCTCTCATAAGCCTAGTTAATATGTCATTCAGACAAGGATAAAAAAGAAAAGAAGTAAATTCTTTTTACGATATAATTTTCAGAAACTCAGAATTATTTGTAGTTTATTGAAGACTAGTTTTAAAAAAAAAACATTCCAAGAAAGACTGGTTTAATGAATGGTTTTGATAAGGTCAAGGTCATTTACAGGTTCTTTTTAATCATCGTTTTGGAGTGAAATTAGTGGAAGTAAACATGCATATAGATGACCTTTGTATGGTGAATTATTGTTGAAATACTTAATGTGTAATTAGACGAATTGCAGTTTTCTTTGAATCATCGTTTTGGAGCAAAATTAGTGGAATTAAACATGCATATAGATGACATTTGTATGGTGAATTATTGTTGAAATACTTAATGTATAATTAGACGAATTACAGTTTTCTTTGAATCCTCGTTTTGGAGCGAAATTAGTGGAATTAAACATGCTTATAGATGACCTTTGTATGATGAATTATTGTTGAAATACTTAATGTATATAATTAGACGAATAGGTTTCTCATCCCAGGAAGTGATTAATCTCTAAAAAGGTACATACAGTCTTAGTTAGGGTACAGGTGTAAAATTATTTTGGTGTACTTTTATGTATTTTTTCCATGGGGTCAAAATTCTGCAGAATAACATTTTTAGTTTAATCCAAGGTTGGATTATATAAAGTTGGTCCTTTGCACTTTAAGTACACTGTGAAAAATTTCCTCAGAAATCTTGTGTCTGAATACATAATGTGATTTATTCCCATGCAGAATAATGTTTATATTTTATAGAGAAAAATTGGGAAATGTTTTTTGGAGAAATATTTAATCTCTCATACCAGATAATCTTTAACAATTATTGATGTTTAGATTATAGTATTAATGTAATTAATCCCCATAAACAAGTCATGTGCTGGCTTGTTTTCTTCTTTGCTTAATCTGAAAAACAAAAAGCAAATTTTTAAGTTAAAGTTCATCACCATAAATCCAACATCAAAGGAAAAAAAAAATTGATCATCATATTGTACAGACTGATTATATACAGTTAAGGATTGCTATTAATGGAATGGAAGACATTTCATTATTGATTATCAAGTCCTTGTAACCAATGAGAGAAGTTTTAAAGATTTACCCAATGGTCGATGCATGTATTTTGTAATTATTCTGTTATTTGTAATCTATGTCACCAATTAAAATCATTTAAGACATAAGTAATTTAACTTTTGCCTGGTAAGATTGAAGTGTATGACTAAACACAGCATGTCATTTTATAACTGTCCTACAAAGCAACCTTACTTCAGCTCCCCCCCCCCCCCCCCCCCCCCCGCCTCAACCCCAAAACCAACCCTTTCAAACCCACTGTAAACAAATGTTCTAAGCTCTAAAACTTTTAATAGGCAAAAGTGAAATTTGTTTTAAAAATGTCATGGAAATTTTATAAAGAACTTAGAGACTTAGAAGGGTTAGTATGTAAACCTTGAAAAAAATCTCACCCAATATGAATTACTGTAAATCACTTTTTATTCGCGAGAACTTTTTTTCACGTAATTATGCAAGAGAGTGTCCTCGCGAAAATTAAATTCTAGTGTATAATAGTATTCCTTAAGATTATATAGAGCAATAACCAGAATTCGTGAAAATTTTGTCTCGCTAATCAAGAGTCAATGACAATCTCACGAAAATAAGGTGTCGTGAAAATTTAGTGATCTACAGTAATTTTTTAAGGATCTAACCCATATATTTCAGCTCTACTCCTCTGTCTACATAATTAATTTATTGCATATGCATATGCTGTATACAGTAGTTTGACCGATTAAGTGGAAAATTGATCAGGAATAAAAATTTTCCAATTCCGCTTTTGTTTTCATCTATTGATAGAAAAAGTAATCATCATCTTTTTTTCAGCAGAACAGACTACCATGATATCACTAATTTTCATGGGGATTTAATTTTCATTGCTTTCAAGGTATAAAAAGACCCCAAAAATCATGTTCACCATGAAATGTAAATTTCATATACATAACTATACTCAACAATTCTTCATCCACGAAATCAAATCCCCTTGAACCCATAGTTTTTCTTCAAACCATGAAAATTTTTCTCAAACATATCAATAAAAGTTAATTAAGTTAACATGATATGAAGATTAATTGAAAGTTCATCACTTATTAATGGAAAAAGAAGTCTGTTGTTGTTAAAGATTTGCATACTGTAAACTAACTAAAATTAGAGATACTGTGAGAGCAATGAGCTCACTAAATGATACCCCCCGCCTCCCATATGGTGGTAATGGCAAAGTCCATGTTTTGCTGTGGCCGGGAAACCCAAATTATGTGTCGGATCAAAAAGTAAAATAGGAGGTGCACAATGGCAATATGTAATAAAGATTCTGTGAAAGTTTCATTGAATTTCACTCAGTGGTATAAGAGAAGTTGCGGATCAGAAATGGGTACTGCAAAGCGTAACAGACAGACGGACGGACGGACATACCGATTACAGTATACCCTCCCACTTTTCAAGCCGGGGGTATAATGAAATAGTTTTGATAGTAGATAGAAAGTGCCATATTTAGTTTGGCTTATTTTATGATATTCCTTTTTGGTCTTCAGAGGTTTGGTTTTCTGTATGTTACATGTATAAAGATTGTAATTAAACTTGGTCCAAATTTAACTGAATGAAAAAAAAATTCAGATTAAGGATAAGTGTACTTTATACTACATATCAGTTTATTCCAATCAAAGTAGCAATGTGGTGTTGAATAAGTTACATAATTCACAAACTGTGTATTTGAGTCGCATTAATACATAACTATATAGGGATCATTGGCTAGGTTTAATAAATTCGTTTGTACTCTGCATTTAGCACCTTCTTGTGGAAGGACTGGGGGGTTGTTGTAAGGGATCACAATCTTCATTTGTTTGATTTCCTCCACTGATCGCCAATAAAACACTAATCATGACGCCTTATTACCCGCTAAGCCTATTGTCCCTGCACCATTGAACTCCTCAGAATGAAGGCAGTTATGCCAGATTACAATAACATTTTGGGTAGTAATAACATTACACACATCCGCTTTAAAATATTTTTTATGCCGATTAATTTGTCACAAGTCAGACACACAATATTTAACAATTAAATTTTAGTCATTGATGAGTTATGGGCCATAGTTTTGTTTAGCCTTTCACTTTTCTTACATTGGAACTTTGGACCCGGTGTTGCCATATTTATATGAGTACTGACATGCTGCGTGTGTCCATATAGATACATAGATAGATGCCTATGGAATTTCATGGATGGACAGTTTATGAGTAAATAGGTGTGAATCCATTCTAAGCAGTATCTATAGTGCTTAATTAGGAAGGACTGTAGCTGCCAATATAGCTAGAATTGTTTAGGGGTAGATCCATTATTCTCAGTCTACAGTTACAGTTGAAGTTTAATTGGAGAGATACCCTCTGTGAAATGTAATTTTACTCTCATAGTTGTCTACATTATTAATGGACACTTTGGAAACAGATCAGTGTGGGGTATTTAAAGCAGAGATCGATATACTAATTTAAAACAGGACACCACCAAAGGGAAAATTAAAATGTGGTGACAAAGGACTGCTTGAAAAAAGTTTAATTCTTCAGCTGTTTGTTTTAATTTTCTAATCAATAGTGCCTTATTTAAAAGTCAAGGTAAGTAAATATAATTATTTAATTAAATCTTTAATTCTCCTCTTTCTTTATATTTTACATTCTAATTTTCTTTTTTTAGTTCCCCCGTACTTCGGAACACACCGCGTGTCAGCTTCAGCCTGGAGTTACCCGGAGGACGTCGTGACCCACGTAATCCAGGCGGACCACGATTCCACAGAGATAGCCGAGAATGAGAGAATCGTCAACTTTGCAAGGGGACCGCCAGTATATGATGGAAGTGACAGCAACTTTATCACAAAAATTAAAGAGGACCTAGGCATCCAGGTAGATTTTGAGAAATGAGAGTTTTGTCTTCACTCATGTTATTTTTTCCATATTTCTAAAAGAAAGTCAATTTTGCTTGAGTTATAAATTTCATGTTCCCTTTTATGAAAATTATTAATTTTACTAGCAGTGTAATTTTCATGTTTTTATTTACTGTAAATATAGCAAATCAGCACATAAATTTTGGCCATGTGTAGTATGAATACTGTTTTTTTCCCTGTCAAGTACAGGGATATGCAGGCTAAGCTGGATAAATATTTTTATCAAAAAGGAATGTATTAATTGAATTTGAGGTCTATAGTTGCAAGCTTAAATCTTTCAAATTTCACCTTCTCAATGAATCACAAATCAATAAACTTTTTATGACTTAAAAACACTTGAACTTTGATATTTAAAACTGAAGAAGTGGAAACCACTCTTTAAAGTGTGCCAGATTATTCACCTTGAATATTTTCCCCTTCTTTCAGCCGAAGAATTCTGAAGTGAGTGAAGGAGTAATCTCCCTTGTAAAAGATTCAGAACAAAGTGACACTACTCCCAAGCATGTGAATAAGGGTGTGATTGTGATTGGTTCAGATCCTAATGACATTCAGGAGTACCTAGCAGCCAAAGAAAGAAAAGCTCCAATCAAACGACCTGAAACACAAGGACAATTAACTCCACCTGATACCAAAAAGCCAAAGACGACCCCACAAACAAATGGAGAGATATTTGGAGATCACAAGATCCACTCTACAGTGAACGAGGAGGAGTCATCTGATACAGACAGTGGGGTGGAGTCAGAGAAGAAGGTTCCTCTGGACGATTATTCTCCCCCGGGGGGACGTGGACAGGAACCAGAGAGCAGTGACACGGACAGCTGGGGGACCCCCGCCAATAGTCCCGCTAAAGGTAGACAGTCCTCTCTCACTGACCCCCTGTCTGCTCTCAACCTTTGTAAGTACTAACCTTACTAACCTCCACTGCTCTCTCTGTCACAAAACAGCCTAATAATGTTTTATATAATCTCCTTAATTTTCCACTTCAAAACAGGGGAAGCTATCCCTATTTGCATTTTTTAACACAGTGTCCTAAACCTTAACATAGGTATTATTTTTATACTATCCCAATGCTCTATGAATATTAGTAAAAGGTGCTGATCTTTAAAATCCAAGTAAAAAATTAATACCAGTAAATTGTTTAATTGTTTTTTAATATTCTTTGTATTGTAATAATAAGTGAAACATATATAAAAGCTCTGAAATAAAAAAAAAAATGAATTATACAAGAACACTAAGTACGTTTTGGTATGTTTTCTCATGTCTGAGGCCCTATATTTAGATGCTGATCCAGAAAGTGAGTTACCTAGAACAGAGTCTGATTTTGAAGTCATTGCATCTAGTTTTGGTTTGCTGAGTCCAGACAAAATCCCTCCAGAGATCCAGGAAGGAATTCTCAATCCCAGAATGTTCTCAGAAAGGAGGCTTTATCTTGATCCAGATATCATAGGTAGGTCATGTTAGAGTTATTGGACTTGGATGTGTGACATAAATAATATTGGATTTCTCAATGATGAAATAGATATTATATTGATATATGATGAAAATATACTGGTTACCACATGGTGTACACAATTAAAAAAAGTATCCATGCTCTCATGTGATTCTGGCTATGAAATAGAAGTTGATATTGGTTTTTTTTTCTTCAGATTTGACCTTGATGCCTCCTCCCCCACCCCCTCCCACATCTGAGCCACCAGAACTAGATCAACAAGCTTCTATGAAACTCTGGCAGTATTCCTCCACATCTGATGGAGGTCAGACCCTAGAAACAGGTATTGAATTAATTTCACAAAGCTCAATATGCAGTCCCTGATTTTGAATAAGAATCCATCTGTAAAATGTATGTAACACCTTGAGAAAAATTTCTAGTGATGCATTTTTCTACACTGTAAAATTTGCCTATTTATAGCAGAAGAGATAATGCCCAGTGATCAGGCACCACATCCTGTCACTCCGCCCTTTGAGAGATCAGTCAGTGATGGCGCCACCCCTGACTTCTTTGACTCAGACATTGATCAGCTGATCGCCCAGCTAACAATACCACCCCCACCATCTTCTGAGGAGTCAATAGAACACATAGATCATCTTGCTCACACGTGGAGTGGACCAGACTCTGTCCATTCAGGAGAGGAGGAGTTCAGTTTAGAGGCATTTGAAGAGGGCCTGGAATCTTTAGTCATTCCACCTCCCCCTGGGGAAGCCTCTGTGTCACTTGATCAAATCCCCATTGTTCCCCCAGTGACCGGCATTGAGGATGGGGAAAACAAAAATGGTCGGGGAAGCCATCGTCGTTCAAATTCTATGGATACTTTGTGTTTTAAGGTAACAAAGGATGAGCATAATAATAATGATGTTAATAGTAAGAGTGGTGAAAATGTAAAAGATTTGAAAAGTGAATCTGGTGCATTATGTGACCCAAAAGTTATTGCTAGTGAAAAGGAAGCAAGTGATTCAAGCAAATCAAACTGTTTGACAGAGTCCGGAAAAGCTACCTCAAATGTTAAGGATGGTCAAGAGAATGATTCCCCTGGATCTGTGTCAGAAAAATTAAACACCTTGTTACAAATGATTCCAAACTTAGGACCAAAGTTAGAAAATGAGAACGATTACAAATGGAGAAGAACTTCGTCCTTACGTCTTTCAAAACCTTCCCCAATGTATGACAAGGACAAGGCAAATCTCCCTAACGGGATAGTGAAAACTGATGTGACTAGTGGCAAAGTTGTGAAAATGCATTCAGGGGACACTCCAAGTCAGGCTGAGAAATCTAGTCAGGAAGTGAGACAAACAAAGGGTGAAGTGACAGTGAGCTCTAAATATTCTAGACATCTACGCAGAACTAATTCATTTGACATCCTTCCCAAAGAGGAAGATGCAGGGGAAGAACCTGAAAAAGCTGTGACTGAAAGTTTTTCCTCCCTGAAGGCTAAACTGCAATCATACAGGGATTATCTTTTAAACAAGTCCAACAATTCAAAGAAAGAACGAAAAACAGAGGAGAAGAAGGAAGAGGGACCCCTGAGGAGGTCCAACTCGTTCACCTTAAATTACCTCAGAAGAAGAAACAGTTCCTCTGATTCAGATGATCAGAAGTCGTCAGGTAATGAGGCGGTATTGAACAGAAGCAGACGGCGAGATAAGAAATCAAAAAACAAGGAGGACAAAGACGACAAGAAAACTCCAGCTCTGTGGAATCAGTTGGCAGCTCCTAGATCATTCCGACCTCATACCTCAACAACTACACAGGTAATTAATCAATTAATCAAGAAAAAAATCATATTTAATTATGCATACTTTAATGTAATCAGATCAAGCTTATCACCTAGAACACATCACCAAAGCATAACAGAAATTCCACATATCAATAGTATTCAGTCATGATGTCATTCATTTGATGACTGCAGGTTTATTAATATAATATCCTGTATGTTTTTTTTGTTTGTTATTTTTTTTTTGGTACATAATTCCATTGATAATAAGCATGATAACTTGTGTAAAATGCATGTCACTAAATGTATAGTTGCAGTCTATTCTTGAGGAGGCAGAAAAGCTTGATTACACTTGTGTATGGCTGGTATGTAGAGTACTTTCCCCTGACAAACCTCTCAAAAGAGGGAACTGATTGTAGCTCACTCTTCAGTCTCTGCCAGCACCGAAAAAAAAAAATCTGGGGAGGAGCTCTCAATGAATGTTCTCTCACACATTTTACCCTTTTCTTGCATGTAAATAAACGTTTTCTATTCCAGCATCACACGTTTCCCCTTCAGAGGAAGGTCAGTAATGGTTAATGAAACATATCATGACACCTTTACCATAACGTGTGTGTGCCACCAATTTCATTTAGACTTTTTTTTTAAAGCAGTGTGTGTTTTTTGCATTTCACTATATATTCTGTATTTCTTTTATCTTGCAAAAATATAAGTGTTGATTCAATCATTATAAATGTAATTTTACAGAAGTATGCTAAATGTATATGTTATTAATTGGGTGTTTTACTAACATTTAGGATAGGGAAGTTCCTATGACAGTAATTGAAAAAATTATCCCATAGACAAATAATAACAATTGTTAGAACTCCAAAATTCACTATAAAGAGGGTACGTCTTTTAACCACAATGAACCACAAGGAACCACAATGAACCACAATGAAACCACAATGAACCACAATGAACCACAATGAAACCACAATGAACCACAAGGAAACCACAAGGACATCTTAATTAAATTTTAATGAATCTATATATGGTTTATATGCATTTTTTAGTCATCTGAGTCACATAGGTGACCTATTTCTATCTGTTATTGTCCGACGTTGTGCTTCCTGTCCGTCTGTTTCCTAATCTTTTGAACCATTTCAGCTCCTTTTCTTGAACAGCTTATCCAATTTTAACCAATTTTGGCAGGGTACAAAGCATCTATAGGTAAAGGGGAGCAAAACTTTTTGGATTTCAAAATCTCTTACCCACAGGGCCTGAGGTTGGGACCAAAACCATCAAAATTAATGCAGTTTTAAAAAGCATTTTCCTTACTTCTGGGCATCAAGCTGTAAAAATTTTGGCATGCTTTAAACATAGGTAATCAGAGATTACAGAGCTCACCTCAACGAATGTTGTCTTTAAGTAAGGCAAAGTCACACAATTAACCAACAAAAAGTATACATTCCAAAAATGAAAATATTTTTAAAAGCAATTTTGATCTGATACTTTGAAATAGACCTACATAAAAAATTTAAACTACTTCTTCTTCATGAAAATGTAATGAAAATCCAGCATCTGAAGCAAATTTGAGAGTTTTCATCTCTTGATGCAGCATTTGTGCAAGTTTGGTTTATACAATGTTATATAAACCTTATAGTTTTTGGTAATAGACCTGCAACCATAACTTTTACCTTGTCTATTATCTGAAAAATGTATGTCCAATTCAGCATCCGAAGCAAGTCCATTAGTGTGCATCCTTAGATGTATCATCCATGCAAGTTTGCTCATTATAGGGCTCATAGTTTATTGGAAATGAAACATGCATCAAAACTAACATTTTCACTCATCCACAAAAAGTAGGTCAGATTCAGCATCCGAAGCAAGCCTGGAAGTATGCATCCTTAGATGTATCATCTATGCAAGACTGGTCATTAAAGAACTCATAGTTCCTTGGAAATGAAACCTGCACCAAAAACTTTTAACTATTCACTCAACCGGAAAATGTAGGTCAGATTCAGCATCCGAAGCAAGACTGGTAGTATGCATCCTAAGATGTATCATCCATGCAAGTTTGGTCATTATAGGGCTTGTAGTTACTTGGAAATGAAACCTGCACCAAAAACTTTAACCTGTTCACTCAACCGGAAAATGTAGGTCAGATTCAGCATCCGAAGCAAGCCCGGTAGTATGCATCCTTAGATGTATCATCCATGCAAGTTTGGTCAACATAGGGCTTATAGTTACTTGGAAATGAAACCTACACCAAAAACTTTAACGTGTTCACTCAACCGGAAAATGTAGGTCAGATTCAGCATCCGAAGCAAGCCCGGTAGTATGCATCCTTTGATGTATCATCCATGCAAGTTTGGTCAACATAGGGCTTATAGTTACTTGGAAATGAAACCTGCACCAAAAACTTTAACCTGTTCACTCAACCGGAAAATGTAGGTCAGATTCAGCATCCGAAGCAAGCCCGGTAGTATGCATCCTTTGATGTATCATCCATGCAAGTTTGGTCAACATAGGGCTTATAGTTACTTGGAAATGAAACCTACACCAAAAACTTTAACGTGTTCACTCAACCAGAAAATGTAGGTCAGATTCAGCATCCGAAGCAAGCCCGGTAGTATGCATCCTTAGATGTATCATCCATGCAAGTTTGGTCAACATAGGGCTTATAGTTACTTGGAAATGAAACCTGCACCAAAAACTTTAACCTGTTCACTCAACCGGAAAATGTAGGTCAGATTCAGCATCCGAAGCAAGCCCGGTAGTATGCATCCTTAGATGTATCATCCATGCAAGTTTGGTCAACATAGGGCTTATAGTTACTTGGAAATGAAACCCACACCAAAAACTTTAACCTGTTCACTCAACCGGAAAATGTAGGTCAGATTCAGCATCCGAAGCAAGCCCGGTAGTATGCATCCTTAGATGTATCATCCATGCAAGTTTGGTCAACATAGGGCTTATAGTTACTTGGAAATGAAACCCACACCAAAAACTGCACCAAAAATGTTAACCTGCTCCAAAAACATTAACCTGGTAATTCCTTTGCTGAAATTGCAGCATCTGAAACTTTGTCTGGTACAATAAAACACACTAAAACCATCTTCCATGCATGTCTAATCAGTATAGGACACAGAAGTAATTAAAAAGAAAACTGCTCCAAAAAACTTAACCTTAACCTGGGACGCCGACGCCGACACCGACGCCGAGGGTATCACATAAGCTCCCCCCAACTTCGTTGAGGTGAGCTAAAAATGCATTTAGTCTACTACAAAATATGCAAAATTTAAATTAAAAGGATAAAGAACTCTGGAGACCAGGTATTAAATTATTAACTTTTTAAAAACTGTAACAATAGCTGCACTAAATAAGTATTGAGTATTGAGGGCTTACTTACATGGACAAGGTATGCTGCGCATTCCCCATTATAATGTGTTTGGACTTTTTAGGAACTTTAAAAAATCAAAATTTTTCTCATTTAGGCAGGCCCGGGACTCTCTTTTTTTTTTTTAAGGACAGACGAGACGTTCCTTAATAATAGATAAATTTTTCTAAGAGTTTGTCATTGAAGTATTGCTACTTAAACATGTTTACTCACAAAAAATTGAGGTACCTTACCAGGCATTTCTGCGAGATACCAGGGGTAGTTTTTCTTATATAATCCTTTGGGGAAGAAAAATAATTTTCGAATTTCAAAGTTTTAAGTGTTTGGATATTTTAAAAACGTTTAGAAACTGCTTTAGAAATCATAATGTTATTAAAATTTTGAACATTTTTCATACATTACGAAGATATACAAAACATAATTTGAGGAACATCTCGTCTGACCTTAAATTGCATGGAAGATGGGACAGGCACCTTTGATGCAAACTTCAGATAATTGACATCAGTATTTAAAAGTTTCATGTATATTGCCATTACAATGTACTTCAAGTTTTTCAGTTAATATTTTAATCGACTCTGAATGAAATATACAAATAGAATAGTTATATGTATTTAAATATGTTATGTACAAAGAAAATGTTTTTACCTTAAAATATGAATTCTGTCAGATATCATGAGTGTATAGGATGATTTTTGTACAGTGGAATTACAGAGTAAAATTTAGAGACAAATTAAGATGTCCTTGTGGTTCCTTGTGGTTTCATTGTGGTTTCATTGTGGTTCATTGTGGTTTCATTGTGGTTCCTTGTGGTTCATTGTGGTTAAAAGACATACCCCTATAAAGACATTTAAAATTTATTTACCAGGCAGTAGATGTTGGTGTATTAAATTACTAGATTTGTGTGTGTTAGAAGTACCTAGTAATTGTTAGAACATTATGGACTGACTGATTTTAAAAAGCCAACTCTAAAAGCACCTTTTCCCTCTAAAACAACCAATACATCTAAATCCAACTGAACACATTTCTTATACTCCATAGCACAGCACTGGTCTTTTATTGTTAATTTTTTTTTAATATGTGAATATTAAAAGTATTTGAGATGTCTCTTTTGCTAAAGCACAGGTCTCGCCTTCTGTGCCTTAATTTATTAGCCACCATGGCATCGCAGGCTGCCTGTTGTGTTTTATAATTTATATGCATGTCAAGTTTGAAAATTTCATGTATGGTGTATGATTAACTTGCTTTGCTTTCATCATACTGTGTATGTTTTGGCTTCAGAATCAATTTTCAGACCAATAATGGCCATTTGAAGAAGTGTTTCCCCCCAAAGTGTGTCTTTCTCCCACCCCCAAAGTCTAAAAATACATTGGGAGTGTTTGATTAATATTTTTAGAGGAACCATATAATGTCTTTGATATTAATGTTTTTGTAACACCCTGTACTCTTTCAGGAAGCAGACACGCCCACCCCATCTAGTGGGGAGGAGGTAAACTAATGACTTACTTTTTTATGTCTATAAAAAGTGCATGACCTAGTGGTTATGGTGGTGTTATTCAACTCTGTACTCTGTTTTACTGAATGCAGTTTTCTAAAACAAAAAAAAAATGAGCTAGAAAAAAAGAAAGAAAATTTTTAAAATGTTTTTTTAAAAAATATGCTATGAATTTGTAAGATTTCCAATCTGTGAAACAGAGGCAGTATTGTCTGTATGTCCAGCATTGTGGTTCTAAGCTCGTTGTCTTCTAACATGTGTCAGGAGTGAATGTATGGAAGCCTTGTCTTGTTATTACCTTTGTGTTTTGTAATGATCACAATACAATGTAAGCTGAAGTATACCAATATATCTAGAATTACAAAGATCATAGTCTTCAAGTAGTAGATTGATATATACATTAGAAAATAAATACTACCTAGTAATGTAAACAAGGCCTGCAGAAACAAGTGCAATATCTGGTTCACTTGAGAGTCACTTGAATGTTCATTGAAATTCACTTGAATAAGCACTATGTCTTGTCCATAAGTAATATTTTTAAAAATTACAGTTGTTTCTGCATGTGGGTTAAATAAAAATTGGACTGCATGGGCTAGTATATTGATACAACTCAGGGGATATATTCAGTATGTATTCTGGAATATTAACTTCAATCAACTTTTATTATGTTCTTACAAAAGTCAGTAGTTGCATGACTTCCTGACAATACTAGCAAATAAAATATTTGAAGAAGGTAAACTGAATCTTGTATGTAAAAATACCTTTAAAAGTAATCATTGTAGAGTCAGTGTGAGGAACACAAAAAGATCTCTATTTCTCAGCTAGTTTGAAGTTTTAATTAACTGTGCAATAATAAAGATTTAAACTTAAATTCCCATTGTCAATATTGATTTTAAAATATCTTCTGTCCTCATTTCTGATCTGTAAGAAGCTTGTTTTTAACAATGGATGAGTTAAGAAAACTGTTTAAGATCAAAGTAAGTACAGTATAAAATTGTGTAATATTTCAGCTTTATTGAAGGGATGTATGTCCATTTTTTAAACTAGACTAAAAGTAAAGTCTGACTTGAGAAAAATACAGATGAAAGAACTTAATTTACCTCTTCATCTCTTACAGTTATTTGGCCAGTTCCGAATAAGAAATCGATTTGACGGTGCTACAAATATATTAGGAATTATTTCAAAATCTAAGTGTTTTGTCAAGGTAGTTCGATGACTTGTGGAATTAAATATTGTTTCATAAAAGTTCAGCCTTCCCTAAAAAAAAAATATCTCGAAAGTTACCATAGGTGTCCATTTTACCAGTTACGAATAAGCCGACGGGTTCCAGATACCCTAGAGATTCTTATTCAATTCAACCCTAAATTTAAAAATATACGTCCCAGACATTATCCATCGGCATGCCTAAGAAAAGTTAAATTAATTGCTTACCAATAAATTATTTGTATTTCCAAAGGTTGAAGAGAAACTAGAGGTACTGTGGGCACTGAGCTCATTTTAATGATACCCCACGCCTCCTTTATGATTATTTAGGACAAAGTCCATGTTTTACTCTGGGAGACCCGAAATAAATGTCAGATCAAAAAGTAAAATAATAGGTCACAATGTCACAATGCAATAAAGAATATGTGAAAGTATCATTAAATCTTATTCAGTGGTATAGGAGGAATTGCGGACAAGAGATGGATATACCTTTCAATATTACAAAGAATGGCAGTATATATGTTTTTTTCAGGGAGCCCAAATTATGTACCAGATCCAAAAATAAAATAGGTGCACTTTGGCACTGTTAAACAAAGATTCTGTGAAAGACTCATTAAATTCTGTGAAGTCTCATAAAACTTCATTCAGTGGTAGAAAAGGGGTTGCGGATAAGAAATGGATACCCCAGAGCATATCAGACGAACGGACGTACAGCTAGACGGACGGACGTACAGACGGATGGATGGACAAACATCCCATTACTGTATACCGCTTCTTCCTGTATTTCAAGCAGGGGTAGAATAAGTCATGTTTACAATGAAGAAAACATCGAAGAGTGAATTTATAATAGTGTTTAAAATGGGTATTCGGAACTAGTAAAATAAGAGCACGGAAATATTTCGATATCTTCCAGTGTTCTAAATATTTATTTTTGACAAGTTTTTAGTATATGTTAGAGTACATATCAAACAAACTTTTGATACCTAGAACGTTGGATTATGTGAAAAATTTATGCATCTACAGAGGTTTTTCTGCAGACTTACACGTCGCGGTGATTCAGATTTGTTGCATTGTAAAAGTATGTCGACTGTTTCAAGTACGATAACGAAACCAAACTGAGGGCAAAAAATCAAAACTTCACATAATTCAAACACTCATGAATAAGCCTTCTTACCATAGAAATCAATTTATTTTTACACCGTTGAATTTATTAATTATCAGTCCTTAAATTACTAATTATTCGGAACTGGCCAAAATCCGGAACTGGCCAAACGACTGTACATTTTTTACATATTTCTAGTGCATGTCAACTTTGAAAAGTTCTCAGGCATTGTTTACAATATTACCAATAATAGGATGATACTTTAAACAGCAGTAGGCTTAAATTTGTATTATATGCCTTCCAGAACAAAATTCTTTGATTACTACATATAGGAGATAGGAAGTAATATCTACTGAATTGTTTTTAGAGAGCCTTCTTAGATTTAGGCAACTAGACTAAATAAGGGGTTATAATCAACTATGGTTATTTAATACTATATACATCATAGACCATTTGTTGCTAGATTAGTAGTCAACATGAAAAAATAAAAATAATTTCAAGGTTTTATCACAGATTGGTTTTCCACTAAAATATTTATAAATTAGTCAAATTCATATTGAATTTGATAACTCTATCCAGTTGAAGGTACTGCAAGGAATTTCTAGTCTTTTGTTCCTAATATGGAGAATGAAGTTTCATTGGGTACTTCATGTCACATATTCCTTGATTTGAAGAATATGTTATCATAATATGTTATTTTATGTCTTAAGCACAAATAACTCAAACATTACCAAAATTCAACACCAGTCATTAACAGAGTTTTGTGTATAACAACAATAGAATGTCCACTGTGATGTAGTACTGAGTGTTAAATTTATTTGCATTTTGCATCATCTTTGGTGACATTTTCTTCATTATAAAATTCTAGGTACATTCCTGTTTTGAATTAAACACATATTTTGTGGACAATCACATTTACATTTATCTCTTTGAAATTTCATGCGAGAAAATTTAATTTACTTTGTTTATTATCTCACAAAAGTTATGTTTTCCTTTTTTCAGAAGAGCAGTGGTTTGCGGAAGTCTGGACCGTTAAAGGCGCTGTCTACAGTTTTCACCTCATCGTCATCTACATCATCTCCTTCTTCATCACCCATCTCATCAGAGCAGACCCCCTTAACACAGACAGCCCCTGTCATTCCATCAAAAACACAGGAACCGGTCACCACCACAGAAAGCAAGGACGACATTTCTCTGGCTGTACAGCCACAAAAGAGACCAAAGGAAAATCCATTTGGAACTGTGTCCAACATGTGGAGACCCATGTCCATGTCTAAAAGCAGCATAAGACAGACGGAATCAGAGGAGACAAATTTCAGAGTGTATAATAACTTTGATGCCCTCCGTGATATGTCGTCAGGGAAAACGCCACCGAAGGAAGAGACGGTAGTAGTGACACAGAGCAAGTCCAAGCCGCAGGTGATACCAACAGAAGTCACGAGGGAGAGAAAGGGGTCGTTATCAGAGGAGAGTCATGCCGTGGTGAGAGACAGTATCAGTGTGAGGCACTCGGATTCGGTCAAACAGATCATGGCTAGAACTTACAAAGCAGAGGAATTTGGAAGTGCTACCAAAGATGCAGACAGACTGCTCTCTGAGCTCAAACAGACAATGGAGACACTGAAAGACTCGCGCATTGACCGAAAGTCAACTCAGTTTGATATGTGTAAGGATGAACTTACAAATCAAGTGAAAAAATTTGTTATGGATGTTAAATGTTTGGTCAGCAATGCATCACAAACCAAAGAAAAAATGACTGTGAACTTAAATAACAGCATGCACACTCTAGCGAGAATCTTTCTTCATACTCAAGCCACCATGATAATGATGGAAGCCGTTCATCAAGCACAGCATCTGGGTTTTGAAGTCATCAAGATGACCAATGCTTACAAGAGCACGGTGAATGCGGCTCAAGCAGCGGTGGGGAAACCAATAGCAGATCCTCATATGAGATATCTCATGAGACAAGCCACAAATCTCGCACAACTCATCAGTGGCTTGCTCAAATCACTCAAGGCTTTAGAGCAAAAATGAAATTTCAGAATTCAAAGTGTCATCTACAAACACTGCATTTAAATTGTCAACATAATTCAGTTTACTGGATTAATCTTGGTCAGTATCCAATTTCTTGTTTCATGGAGCTGTTTGATTGTTGAAGTATTTATATCATTTTTTTTTTCATAGACAAATATGGTTACTATCATTATGGTGTTTCAATTTTGCGTTATTTGTGTTTAACTATGATCATATAAAGTTTTGAACAAAACATAAAATTACATGGTTGTTTTTTTTAAATCAATTTTCATTAAGTTTTACAAAGTTCAGAATTTTTTTTTGTTTATAGAATATGGGAACAATTAGGGTTTATATAATGGTTGTTTTTTTATTAAATATAACTAATATATAATGTGCCAATACTTAGTATAGGTTGTGTCGTTTCATGTAAATTATGATGTATCATATTAAAAAATGTTTTTCTCAAGAAAGATGCTTTAGTATGGCAGTTCATTGGTGTTCTTTACAAAATCAGAATTATTATTTATAGTGAGACACCAGAAAATAATCTTTAACGATAACATGAAATTTTAGATTACATCTGTTTCTTTAGATACAATCACCAAAAGAACTTACAATACAATGTTTGACTGTGATATATTTGTTTATATATATAGTACCAAATTTTTGTTTGATACTCAATATTCTTTTGTTATGAAATATAAATATATTTATTATCAATATTATGTTATTGGATGTACTGAAATGTAATCGGTTTCTATAGTCTTATTTGTTATACCTCTTTACTCTTGTTCAAATTTGATTGATAATTAAATGTTCATCAAATGATTATCAAAATGCCAGATTTGTACCACATGTTCCTGTTAATTTTGCTGGTAATACATTTAATTATCATTTTTCATTTGTTCTGGTTGGTCTTCATATCTGATTAATTTATCTGAAGTTCATTTTTTGTGTTCATGAGAATTTTATTGGTGTTTTGTATGCATATTATCCTCTTAATTGACATATACAATCAAAATAAAGTTTAATATAACTTTATTTCAATTGAACAAATAAAATTTAACAAAGTACAATACATATGCATGTCCACAGAACCAATTTAAATATATATGTAGATCTGCAATCATTGGCTTACAATCCTTTAATAGATCTTTTTTTTTACTCTCTCTCTCTCTCAGTTTATTTTGTTTCTATTTTGAATCTCTTATAAATGGACATTTTAAGCAAAACATATTTGATACTACCATATATTTTCTTTTGTAACAACAAAATTTTTTTTTAGTATACATATACACCCATATTGAATCAACCCATCTCATACATAGATAATACAGCAATAATGTCACTAATAAGTTGTTTTACTGAAGGAGTACAGCAGCTTTATTTACAGATTTTTTATGTATGTCATTCAATATATGCCAATGTAACAAATTAATAATTAAAAATATTTTATAATGTTTATTTGTGTTCATTTATTGTCTGTTGGTTATATTCTGTCCCAATTGTCAAGGATTTTCCCACACTGAAGTGGTTCCTAAACTTCATAAAAACCTTTACACATAAAGATACAATGACAAGTCCAGTAAAAGCTCTACTTTGCCCCTTTCTTAACTTCTCACTAAAATATTTACTGCTTTCACTCAAGGACAAACTTCAGATTTGTGTGATGTCTGTACACTCTATACAACCATTCCTCATGATGAATTAAAAAGTAGGCTTTCTGATGTCTTAAACAACTGCTTCTTTAATAAAAATGTCATGTTTTACATAGGTCATCAACAAAATAACCTAAAAATTACTCTGATTCTACACAAATGTACTGTTTACATTTCTATCTATTACCAGAGACCATGTCTTCAAACAAACTGTTGGAAGTCCAATGGGCACTAAATGTTCTTCTTTATCCAGCATATCTGCTTTTACATTCTACAAAGCTGAATTTATTCATAAACTTGGTGTGACCTTCAACGGCACATTCAGATATTGACTCAATATTTTCCAGTGAACTTGAAATAAGTTTGACACATACTAGTACATTTTATTTTACAATAGAAAAAGGTGTTGCTGGTAACCTAGTGACCAAAATTTTTGATAACTTGATGACTTCAACACTATCAACTTCCCTTAATTATGAAGCAGTATACCCTTATCATCTGAGTATGGGGTTTATCTCTTCCTGTTGATTCGATAAGAACATGCTCTGAACAATTTCTTAACCGAGGGAAGCTATCAACAAACAAGTTGATAAAACAAGGAAACAAGCATTCTTGTTTAAAGTCATCAGACTTATCAATTAACAAAATGTATTTCCATTCATATGTTGATTCAATGCCTCAAAATGAACTTATAATGAGGACTCCACTGAGTATTCTGTATTTGTTTCATACTTTGGTGTTTTACTGACTACAAAGCATAAGACCAAACGTTTGAAACAAAACGACTTCAGCCTTTCTGTCGTCAACCTTTTTGTGCAGTAATATTTTGTTATCACCAGCATAAAGTATTTATGCTGTCGAGGTAGCTCTGGATAGAATCGATTTTTAACTGAGGAAGACTACTGACAAATAAGTTATGTTCTCCTTTGTTTCACTTATCCGAACATAAAATATTTCTATTCTAAGTCTTAGAGAATAAACAACAAAACACAGATATATAATGTGTTGTACGCCTATCAACCAATAAACACGCGAAATTATCAGAGATGTACTGGTAGCAGACCTCAAAAGTCAAAAAGTATTTTCAACTACAATCTACAATGTAAAATATTGAACATACATGTCAGAATTATGCACCATTTTAACAATATTTCCATAACTTTTTGAAAGTTAATTTATTTAATTTCTTGATAATTCTACTGAGATGTAAATTTCTCCAAGCGAAAAGTCAGAAGCTAAGAGGCCTTACCACGAGTGCAAGTTATACCACTTTTCCAGCAATCATTGACAGGCACGTAGCAACAGGGGGCCTGGCCCCACTTTTTTCCCAACAGTATCTATGCTATAGAAAATGTTCATTGAAAGGCTGGTTGACCCCCTCCCCCCCAACTTGGAACTGAAAGAAGTTGGCATTGAAAAAATTTGGCTTCTAACCCCCCCCACCCCCCACGAAATACAACCCCCTTGTTTTTTGCTTGTCAACTTTTTCAGGTAAGTAAAAAAAAAATTCTGGATGCCCCCCCCCCCCACTTTCAAAAACGATACTACGTGGCTTATTGATGCCCTTGCAAAACCTAACAAACAAAACAGTGATTCCTTAAATAAATAAAAAAAAAGTGTTCGAAACTGGTTGCTTAATAAATTACGCGTACAGAAATAGTTCGAATAATTCAACAAGTAGAAAATGATTTATGTTATAAGAATTTCAACAACCTCGTGGTCGTATAATGACCTTGTTGACAATACAGCCAATCATATATGTCAGCCTTTATTTGACTGACATATATATACCAAGTGTTATGTCTTTGCTTTTTACTAAATCTGACAAGTGAATGTTTCGTTTGTCTGACTATAGTGCGTGGGGCTCACGAATGGTGTGATCAGTCAAAGGGATGTTTGCTCCTCCTAGGCTCGTGGTTCCACCTCTTCAGTTTCCATATTTTTAATACAAATTGCAAACTTTCTCTTTAAAATACACAAATATCATTATGGTTTTGTTGGGCTTAAAACCTTATAAAAAAGAAGGCTCTTTTATAAACACCTGTTTAGAGGAGAAGAAAATAAAACTATATGTAATTAAATGCCTATTAATTTATTTCATTGATGGATTTATTTATTGGATTATAAAATGCTACCATTTTATAAATATTGGATAACATTCTTCCAATCAGAGAGGAAAATTATCTCTAATTAAAATTAACCAACCCAGAAAAAATTATTCTAATGTTTTTTTTTTCAAAGTTCAGAGCTCAGTTGCTGAAAAACGTGTCTCGTCGGCTCAACTTCACATTAGCCAGGTGTCGATAGCCATATAGAGTAAACAAAATCATAAAATGTTCTTCTTAAAAACATGTATTCAAAAAAATCTTTAATTCTATTGACTCTTTGAGGGATGAAAATACAGTAACTTGAAAAATATAAAGGGAACAATATCGCAGTCTTCTTTTTACGTCCGTCAAGCAGACATAATGTTTAAACAACATTTGATTGATTGAATCGGCCATCATTAAGTCAACTGAAAGAGGTCAAAAGGGTGGACCATCTATATTCCACGGCACATTGGAGCACGGGCATATAAATGGTGAAAAGAAAGCCCGATTTATGCGCCCTCAGATCGGTGCATCCCTCCCTTGAATGGGGAGGATTAAGCGCGATCTCACGCATGTGATGACTGAGCCCCTTTGAGTGTTCCCTGTGGACCGTAAAAGAAGTGTTGGCCATTCACCGCATCGCTTCTATCAATGTGGCAATAAAAACAGCGATTTCTCATTTGAATTGCCGATAGGTAACATTTCCTTACAATCAGGGAATTATGTATAAAAGTGGTTTCTCATTGTAAATATAACTACCAGGGCTAGGACGACTTCCTCGCATCATTCTACAACTTGATGCAGACAGCGAGCACCCGGATCACAGGATGTTTGGACAAGTACAAAACCCCCAGGTACTGGACATAGGACAATCAAACCAATCAACGAGTTCTTTGCTGAATTTTGTGGATGTCGCTTCTTGTAATATAAAAATGGCACTAGATAGACCTTCCAAGTCAAAGAGGAAAGTCAACCATCGAAAGTACCTCCAGAAACAGTTGAAGGGCTGCGGAAATGTTCAGCAAGAGGATACTTCTCGAAGAGCGCCACCTGGAAGTCAACAAATCAGATTCGTTAAAAAGGAAAGCACACAGACTGGTCGTCAAATGAAATCCCTTCAAGCTTTATTTGACCCAAGAACTCTACACGAAAAATGCTGTGCAGATCCCGGTACCAACACTCGTGGATCTAAAGTGCCCTTGCGAAAGCGAGATCTCCCTCCATCCTTCTTTTTGGAGCCATCAAAGCTTGAACATAGAGACAACCTGATGGAATCTTTAATGTCGGTTGATGATGAGTTACTGAATTCGCTGAATCGTGTCCCGGATCTAGACACTCTTTCCTCGGATACATTGGACTCTATTCTCGGTAACAATGATTTGGACGACTTCTTGAACGTTGGACAGTGGAGTGATTCCAGTAGAGACAGCTCCGAAAGTGACCCTCGGTCTCCAAACCCAGAATACGGTGTCTGGAATAGTGCCGTCCATCTCAATGAAAACCGTATTCCCGAATACGCACAAGAACATTGGTCACCCAATAATTCTTCACAGGTGGCGTTTTCTGAAAATGTTGGTCACTTGACGTATCACCCAGCACATTCACTTTTAGTCGAGGATTCAAAATCAAGGGAACAAAAGTTTAACAGCATAGAACCATATCGGGAATCCTCCAAACTACCTACATTTCCACAGGCATTCTTGGGAAGAACAGATTGTATTAACCCGAACTCTGGACATTGGAGTGAAACTTCTATTCAACAATATTACACATACCTGTGACTTTTTTTTTATATTATACGAAGTATATTGTGTTACATTTAAGTTTAAATCTTAAGTTGTTTAATTTTTTTGCATTTATTTATGTGATTATAATGATTGCTTTTGTTCTGTAAAATTCAACTAACATACAAAAGTTAATAAAATTTGTTAAGCCATTTCTGTATTTCTGAGTAATTTGATTGATTTTTTAGGGGGGGGGGTGTAGAAGTCTAGGGCGCATTAAGAAACATCACTAAGTATTGTGAATTTTTAGCTCACCTGAGCCGAAGGCTCAAGTGAGCTTTCTGATCACATTCTGTCCGTCGTCCGTCCGTCCGTCTGTAAACTTTTCATATTTTCGACTTCTTCTCAAAAACCGCTGGGCAAATTTTAATAATCTTTGTACAATGCATCCTAGAGTGAATGGTCAAGTCCCCTCACAAGGGGAAATAATTTAAAAAAAAAAAAGACAAAAATATAGAGTGAGGTAATTAAAAAATCTTCTTCTCATAAACCACTGGGCTATAAGAGCTGTAAATTATGCGGAAGCATCCTGAGATATTGTTGATTCTAAATTATTAAAATCCTCACCCCCGAGTGTAGGGCAGAGTCACAATAGGGAATTCAAGTTTTACATTGAAAGATATAGGAAAAATCTCAATAACTACTAGGCCAGAAAAGTTGAAACTTATACGGAAGCATCCCGAGTTATTGTAGATTCTAAATTGTTCAAATCATGACCCCGGGGGTAGGGCGGGGCCACGATAGGGAATTCAAGTTTTACATTGAAATATAATATAGAAAAAATCTTTAAAAATTTTCATCTCAAGAACCACCAGAAAAGCTGAAACTTATGTGGAAGCATGTTGGGGAAGTGTAGATTTTAAATTGTCCAAATTATGACCCATGGGGTAGAGTGGGGTCACAATATGTATTACAGGGGGTAAATCTGGTAAAGAACAGCATGGTAAATGCTACTCAGGTGAGCGATGTGGCCCATTGGTCTCTTGTTATGACGTTAAGGTGTTAATGAGTCCAGTATTTTCCATAAACACCCAATAACTGATTAGTAGGAACTTACCTAGATTAAAAAAACAACAACAAACTTCATCTAAGGTAAAATATGTTTTGTGGCAAACAAGATGTGATTCCTGGAGATAAACTGCATGCATGGTATCTCACTGTGGGATTAATGAAGTTCGGCAAAATATATTTCTTCCAAAGGGCAAAAAGGAATATCTAAAAATCGGGGGGGGGGGGGGACATAAAAACAGCAAAAAAAGAAAAGAAATGGAAAGTTAACAAAAGTAAAAAAGAATTCTTTCAGTAATTATGGTGATGGGTCCTACAACTATGCTTACGTATATAAGATCGTGTTTGTCAAAAATTGTTTTCCACTCTGGCCCCGCCCCACCCGGAGGCTCATGATCAAACTCAATCTACACTACGCAACGAAGCTTTTGCATGCATTTGTTTCATCTCTAATGTACAGTTATATATAGGAGGGCAACCCCCAAAATGGACGGGGCTAGCTGGTCTTTAAATAGACTGGTCTCAGATAATGTCTCAGATTATTTAAGATTTCTAACGCATCTATACTGCTATAGCTATCAGGTTAAACTGTATGATTTAAAATTTTGATATTAAAAAATGCCCTCCTTTCATACTATAGATGTAAAATATGAAGTACTCTTGTAAATCGTGGAAACATATATTTTAATTAATTAAATTACATGTAACATTAAATGCCTTGCACATTCTTAATATTCCTTACGCCCTCATGTACAATGTTACATTCCTGTATAAAATTTTGTATTTCGAAGAGATGAAATAAAAAAAAAAATCTGATACACTACTGGATGTTCCATTCTTTGTATCGTGTGTATATATACATGTATTTTATAGACAGTTCTCATTAAATCTCTGTTGAAATTACTTGGCAAATTGATATTTTTGTTGACTAATTCGCTCAAAATGAATGTCATGCATTTTTTTTGGGGAGGGGGGGGGGAATACGTGAAAATTCCGGCGCTATATGTGTGAATCTGTGCTTTTCTGCAGGTGCCCGCTTCATGAAGCACTCAATTTAAATAATGCTCCTCTACTTTAAAACCCCTTTTCTCATCTCTACAAAATGTGAATGGTTGATTCTTGGATTCACTTTCAATGTTTAATCGTTTGTTACTGTCAAGAGCAAAATAGATCGGTTGAAAAATGGGCTCTTGTGTTAAAATTTATTCAGGAATTAAGATGCATAAACTGACATTAAACACTCGGTCCAGCGATAGTATTTATTTAACGACACCTTTAAGAGGTGTGAACTTCATTCTCAAACTCAGAATCATTTGTTATTTAAGAAAAGTTTGTAAAATAGCTTCTATCGTTCATTGGAGTATGCATGTATAACTTACTGTAAATGGTCAGCAAAAACAGTAAAAAAAAAAAGGGGGGGTTGTATACGGCATACAGTTACACATTACTGTAATAGATCACCCCAAAATCAATCTTATCTTTTATGTATTTTGTACATCAGGTCAACATGAAAACATAAAAAAACATTTATAAAACACAGATATAGGTTAAATATTAATTTCTTACCGTATACATGTAAAAATTAAAAAATTAAATGAATAAATAAAAATAAACAAATAAATAAAAAAAATAACTTGGCGCCTAAATAACCAATTGTCAACCAACCAACTAAATAACTAACAAAACTGATACCTTAAATAAATAAATAAAAAAATAAATAAACAAATAAATAACCAACATGTTTTTTTCAACGAATGCTGAGCATTTATATATTTAAAAAAAAAATCAATCTTATCTTTTATGGTACATCAGGTTAACATGAAAACATAAAAAAAAAACATTTATAAATGAATTAAAAAAAAACGGGCCTAAATAACACCTGAAATATGAATCTGTAGGAAATAATTTACTAAACTCGTGGTTTTTGAGTTTGCGGAAATGCCCGATTTACGAAACCGGGAAAGGAGATCAAGCATTGACATGTTTATATCAGAATCTCTTGTACGTTTGTTTACAATGCGTTCATAACGTGGGAATAAGCAAGCGTCTTTTTGACATCGAAGGAAAATCACCCGGATAAATAACAAAACGGTTTAAACTTGACAGCAAGTAAAATAACTATATTTTGGTCATTTCCCATTTCCTCTCATTTGCAATGATATAACAGGCAGAAGCTCTGAAAGGAAGGAGAATGGCGGCAATTGATTTATCCAAAACATTTGATGAGATGGAATCGGACGAGCTCAGTTTGGAAACTTCAGTTCCGACAGATTTGACTCTTTCCCCAGACAGAGAAAATGGACATGCAGAGGATCGCAGGGATCGGAAATCAAAAGTAACTCGGCAACTAATAGAAAGAAAACAACTCATGCACGACATGCAGCTTTTAAGAATTGAACTATCTCAGAAAAACTTGACATTAGAAAACATGAAAGCAGAATCTCTGAACAAAGTAGAGGAGCTTGAAGAAAAACTGAATGATGCATTACACCAGAAACAAATTCTTGCTGCTCGTCTTGAATCCCAATTAGCTATTCAGGAGCAAGAGTCAAAAAGGCGTCAAGATTTGATCAAAGGAGAGATGGAAGAGGTTCGCCAAAGGCAGAAACATTTAGAGGCGACAAATGAACGTCTGGAAGAAAAAGCCGGGAATGTCAGGAGGACCCTGAGAGACTTATCTCTTACAGAAGATAAATATTATGAACTTAGAGGACAAAGTGAAGAAGATTTATCACTACGAGATTATGTTGCTGTAAGCATTTAAAAAATGCATTGATTTCAAGTGAAATGTTGTACTAAGCATTCCTGTTTATGCAGAAGTTATAACTTCATTGTTTTTAAGGTTTAAGGAAAATTTTGATATTAATTCTTAATAAAAAAAAAGAAACTTCAATTCATAAAAATCTTATTGCCAGTAAGTTTTGTATCCTTCACACTTTGATTTTAATTTTAGATGAAGTTATTTGAGGCAATCCGTCCATTGGAAACAGAGATTGATCAGATGAGGTTAAGAAACAAAACTTTGGAGGATCAGAATAAGTCATTTTCAAAAGAAGTACTGGAGTTGCAGGAGGTATTTTGGGAATCTGTTGCCATTTTAAAAGTGAAAAAGGATTTTTTTATTGCAAATACAATGAAATGCTATATCTAGTTTATTTGTGTCATTATAATTGTAAGTAACTCTTAAGTTTTGTTGCTATGTAGAAATTAGATGGAGAGCGCCAAGAACACGGTGAATTGCGGATAAAATACCAGAAGATGGTGATTGATTTCTCAGACACAAAATCTCAAGTCAAACATGATAACTTCAAAGTAGAAAATTACGACAGAGTCAAAAGGTTGGTATAAAATTAAAGAAGTTTGGGAAGCATGAGTTAAGCATATTACCTGAAACTTAGAAACAAAGAAAATGAAATGTTCACATAATTTTTGTCTTTCTTTAGTGAGAAAGATGGTTTAGAGCAGGATCGATTAGATATTCAGCGACAACTGTCAGTACTAGAAGGATCTCATCAGACTCTGACCAAGGAGAGGGATGATCTACATAGTGAGGTATAAACTCTGACAATATATATCATTAAGAAATTTATTGTGGTTTTGCGTATACAGTAGGTACTATCTGAAAGAGTTGTTGTCTAAGGGAGAAAATGAGCACCAGAATTACCGGTAAAAGGGAATTTCATTCAGAATTCAGAATAAACTTGCAAAATATTGAGTGTACTCTGAGATATGAAAGAATCTTTTGCACCAGAATTTTTTTTTTCATGAATATATGTTAGAAATGTATTAAATAAGGTAAAATTAACCCCTTGCACATATTTTTTCTCTCCTCAGCTTTCTGCAGCTAAGCAATCCCTGTCGTTGCTGAAGCAGGACAAAGAGTACCTGACAAAGCAGGTGTCTGACCTGACAAACAGGTGTACGTATGCCGAGGACAAGGTCCAGCAGTCTGGTCATCAACTGGAGGACGCCAAGAGGGCCAGGGAGGAGATGTACGAGAAATACGTGTCCTCAAGGTAAACAACGCATCAAATCAAATGGTGTACTATGAATTATAATGGATAATGCTGGAGAATAAGGGTTCTAAAGTTGGTTGTATTAGTGGTTTTAAAGTAAAATTTTAAACACTTTAATTTACATGTACCGCACTAATAACAAGAAAGATAACTTTGATCAGTTTCAAAATTCCTTTTTCTGCACTTACAGATGTTTTAGTTGGATCTTTAATTCATTATTTTTGGTAATTCATGATTTCAATTCTATTTTGCTGAAAAATTACTGCTTTGGGCATTTCTTGATGTATCTATAGTACCTGAATCACTCTCTTTTGAACTACTGTGTCTGGCCAAAAATTCTATCAGATTTATGCCAATATTGTTGGCATACCTTTAAGCAAGCATAATACCAAATTTTACACCCACTTAAGAACAGCTATACAACATTATGATTTTTTAATTGTATCTGTATTGAAATTGTCTTGAGGATCTTTGGGTATGCAATCAAAAAAAGTGTGCTGTTGCACCAGTGACCATGAAAAAAAGTAACAAGCAAGGACTTGGGGAAAAAAAGTTGAAATTTTATTTGCAATAAAAAAAAATCTGATTCTTAAAGTAAGAATGTCTTGTGATATTGTTGTACATTTATTTTGAAGGGATCAGTATAAAACAGAATATGAAAATAAGCTAAGAGAAGAACTTGAACAAATTCGACTGAAAACAAATGGAGAAATTGATCGACTTCGCACCAGCACTAAGGAGATGTACGAGAGAGAAAACAGGTATTTATACACAAATAGAACTACAGTAAACTCGGTTATAACAAAGTCTTTGGGACCTGAGAAAATTACTTCACTATATCCGTAATTCGTTATATCTGTATAAGGAATTCGTTGAAGTTATATAGCTGGGGATCCAAGATAACTTAGCTATATCTGTGAATTTGCAATATCCATGTTCACATTAAACAAGTTTTACTGTTTTGATATTGATATTTTTACACTAGACATCTGTTTTGGGGGAAATAGAACTACTGTGATATTGGTATTGACACATTTTGATTTTTGCAGAAACTTACGAGAAGCAAGAGACATGGCGATATCTGAGAAAGACAGAGCAATAGCAACAGAGAGAGAAACGTCAACAAAATATGAACAGCTACTCACAGAGTAAGTTACTGATGTTGATGCAAGTTATTTGGTACAAATTTTTGTGGAATATATTTACTTAATGGGTCAAATTTAGTATCAGAGAATGTTTTCATGGAAATTATGAAACAAAAAAAAAGAATTTTATATAAATTGACTGAATTTAAGAAAATAAAGAATTCTGTACTCAGTAATGTAGTTGTAAGAAAATTCATTTCCCAAAAAGGAATTTACAGAGGACATCTGTGATGTAACAGACAAAATATATCTGTCATTTTCTTCCAGCAGTAGGGAGCCAGAAAAATGATGTACCGTATAATCACTGTTAACCGCCCTGGGCACCTAGAAAATTGCAAAAGGGGGGCGGTTATTTTAGTATTCTCTTTATAATATTTAATGTCATATTTTAACTTCAAAAAATCTTTGAAAAAAGAAATAAATTCAAAGAACCACTTAAATAATGTTTAACTTTACTTTAAGTGAAGATAATCAACCCAAATTAAGCTAAATGATTCATTTTCCACTGAGAAATTGGATTATAGACAGGTTTCATTTTCAGTTTCTTCAAATTTTGGCAGATACTGTAAAAGTGGTTATTTACGCGTGGGGGAAATTTACACTACTTACGCGGTTAGCTAAAAACCGCGTAAAATACCCCCGCGCTTATGGTCACAATTTCAATCTTCTGGAATAATTCTAGATTATTACTTATACTGTTAGACGGGTTGAACCATTCGTATTTTTATCTTGGTATTGGACGCACGTGAATAGATAAATATATCACAAACTGTGCTAAAACGTAATTGTCCGAGTAGCGGTAATGAACTGTAATTTTAATTGATAGAATTTAGCGGTAATGCACATCTGTTTATTATGTTACTAGTGCGAAGAAAAACGCATCTTCATATAAAATATTTTAAAGCAACGTCACGCAATTATTTAAAGCTTCAAAACATCGATACTCATTTTCATTTCATTTGTATATTCGTTTTTAGCTTTCTCAATTTCAAATGATTAGTCCAAAATATTAAATAAACTCAAGGTCACTACAATTATACCTATTAAATTAATTGTAAAAACTCGACACCTAGACACAGGTAAGTAGATTTCACTTTGAAGTTTGAGCTTGCGTTAATAATTACAATAAAGCGTACACCAGTTGTTCACACTTCACCGTATTTGACTGTACCCATCGACATTATATATTTATTAATCCAACAGTATAAACAGTATAAATTCTTATTGATTTGTTTAGTTTGTTTGTAATTTTTTTTGTGTCATTTTCAAAGGGGAACAACCCGATGTTAGTTACGATATCGATGGCCGCGTAAATTTTTCTCAGTAACTCGTGCGACCGCGTATATTATACCCACGCGTAATGTTTGATGGTCACAATCGCGTACTTAACAACCAGTGTAAATAACCACTTCTACAGTATACTAATACGATTCTAGATGATTATAATCACTGTACAGGGGGCCCTTATTTCCTGACAATTGAAAAAGACCTAAGGGGGCACTTATAGGGGGGAGGCGGTTAATAGGGATTATACGGTAACCATTTTACTTGATTTATCATGATAATATCAGATTGCACATGCTGAATTAAAACAGATCTTCAGTTGGTAACACAAAAAGGGGTATACCATCTAAATCCAATGTGTATTTCAGGTTTCGTCAAGTGCAGATGCATGGAGACAGTAAAACAGCTGAACTACAGAATGAGATGAAGTTGAAAAGTTTTGAGTTGGAGAGATTACAGATGGTGCACGAGGAATCTCTACGCAACCTAAGCCAGGCCAAGCTAGACATAGAGAAGCTAGAAAAGAAGGCGGAGGTAAGGTCTTATTGACAGTAAATAAATACTATGTTTTATCTATAGATGAATCTTAGATCTTTTCACTTGTATATGAAAGTAAATTTCTGTATATCGGTGGATACATGCTACTTGTAGCAAAAAAGTTAAGAATTATTTGATTGTGTGTGTTCTAAGGAAAGTTTTTTATCTTAGCTACCAATTTTTCCTACATTATGACTGTTTTCAGGTTTTAACTAAGGAGTACTACACTCTCCAAGCTGGGATGGATAAAAAAGTGGCTGAACTTGAGGCTCTGATGTCGGAGAAAAATGCCAAAATCCAGATGTACGAGCGAGTGGAGAAGGAGCTGGATGAGGTCGTTCTTCAAGCTGCGCAAGGTTAGATATAAAACAAGAAATCAAGGGGGATAATTCATATTCTTTTTATTTTTGGGGGAGGGAGGTACCTGTTTGCATCAAAGGTTTTGATAGGTACCTGTGAAATTTTTTTATGTGTAAATTAGGAATATAAAAATCAGATACCATAATTCAATATTTTGATTTCAGTTGAAGATGACCAAGAAGCAGAAAAAGTTTTGTTTTCCTATGGTTATGGTGCTAATGTTCCTACCACATCTAAAAGAAGACTGGAACAAAGGTATTTTTCCCATCAGGAAGTTATCTTCTTCATCTTAAAGTAGGATATTTTTCTTGGTGATATGGAAGTAGGATAATTGTCATGATTCATTTGTTTTTAAAATAAAGCCTAAGGTCATGGTCAAGGATTTATGTCAGGCTAATACCAATGTTATATATGTTTCCAAGCCCAGTGGGGAGTCAGGGAGAGGGAATGTATGATTCACATATAATTTTTCAGAAAAAATATTACTTAATAAAAGGATATGAAATATATTTCTTCCCATAATATTCTTTTTTTTGAGAGATTGAAAAATATGTCTTTTGTAGTGTTCATTTAGCTAGAAGAGTGTTGGCTCTTGAAAAGATAAACACACAACTCCGACAAGATTTAGAAAGAGAAAAAACCAAAATAAAGCAATTGGCAGAGGAGGTATGTTTATAGATGTATTTTATGTTCTGTTTTGATATGAACATAATATGAATACATAAATTTGTAAAGTGAGTAATATAATTTTACTTCTTTTCAGCTTAAAAGCAGTAATTCAATATTAGACCAAGCACAGCAGCCCTATAATTATTTGATAGACAGTATACGTCAGAGAGATGCACAAATAAATAAAATGAAAGAGCACGTAGCTAACTTGGAGGCTGACGTACAGTGAGTGTATATTTATGGATATTAAAATTCTGTCGTCTTATTGTAACTTGTTAATGGTCTGTGGTCATCCATGTCACAGAAAGTTAGAAAATTTAAATTGGAATTTCTTTTCTTTATTAGATATACCAAGCATTATTAAAAAAAACTTTTTTCTCTATTTAGAATTCTTTTTTTATGTGCTGTACATCCTTTTCTTTCAGACAACTTGAAAAGGAGAGAAATGATCTTGTCAGGACTAAAAACAACATGTCCTTGGATTTAGAACGCTTATTGAACCAGAAAGAGGTCAGTCATCCAGGAAAATTCATTGGAATATAAATACACAAGGTGTAAATACTCTATTGGTTGGGCAATGTTGGCTAGGAACATGTATAATTATGTGTTGGGTTGGGTTACTTCCCTTTATTAAGCATTTTAAATTGCAAAGATAAACTTAATAGTCGTCACTTTACAAAAGAGCCACCCTTTTGTTTGTAAATGAAAAGATTGCTACATTTGGACACATTTATGAAGAATTCTTTTCTCTGGTCAAATAAGTGCACAAATACCAAAGTAAAATTTCAAGAAAATATGTGATGCAACTCATATTTCAATGATTATCCAACTATATTAATTTTTTGTTTGAATTGCTCTGTAGTTTTAAGAATTAATAAAAAAAATTCTGTTTGCCTTTTTAGGAAATGTCTGTCATGAAACAAGTGGTGATGAACTTGTCCAATCGTCAGTATGGAGAGAAGAAGACAAAGTCACGTGACCTAGCAAGACCCAAAAGTCCATCCTCACACAAACCGTTTGGATCCTTCGAGCTGCATGATGAACCAGAAGTTGTTAAACCTGGCTTCATAACAGTTGTAAGTACTTAATTAATGTGTCTTGTCATGTGCTTACAGATTTTCATGATTTTTATTTATGTAAAAAAATGTCGATATGGTTTACGTTTCAGTAAAAAATGAAATATCAAATTCACTTGGAAAGCCTGACTATTAAAATCATGACCCAGGAAGTTAATGTTAGACTACTGTAGGGGTAAAAGTTTTACTCAGAATTTTTAGACTTCTGCAAGAACAACAATGCTTCATTAGTTAACTTGAAGTTAAACCTAAATATACTGATGTTTCAAATCACAATGTAAGCATTTTGAAAGGGGGATGGGGGTAGGGGTGTTAAAATATTTATTGGTAGATGACTCAAATAAGCATTATGACCAATGAGTTTCTTTTTTTTTTTCAGACAAATGATAAATCTCATTGGTCGAAGAAACTAAAACAGAAGAATGTAGAACAATCCACAAAATTCTCTAAAGTTTACGCCACAGCCAAGTCCTGACCAGAGTAACAAAGGATGACTCAACTATACAGTACCTGTAGTATCCCTGGTGTCTGGAAAAACATCTTAGGAAAAAATCCATACTGAAAAGTAGGACAAATTATTGACTGAACAGAGCCAGGAAATGAGCAGAGCCAGGAAAAATGGTTTTAATGATTCAGAAACTTTGATGATTACATGTATGTGACGAGAAGGGCCCCAGAGTGTCTTTGTTTGAATGTGTTAAGAATCAAACAAATATTTCTACGATTATGAATATGAGGAAAAAACCTTGGGTTGAAGAACAAATGACAAAATCATGTTCCAGATTTTATTTTAATGATAGTTATGTATTCATATACAACATATTAATTATATTTTTAATTCATTCAACAAAAAATAAAGTTTATAAATTTTTATATATATACATGTTTTGATTTGAATATTGTATATTCTTCAGTCATTTATCAGGTAACTGAAAAAAGTATTGTTTTTCCACGTATTCTAAGAGATATTTTTTGACAGTAAGATGAATTGATAGTGGTTAGGACTAGGTGCCTTGTTAATTTTATTTCAGTCATACCCCATTAAATGGGATGTATATCACTAATTATTAGTGTTGTCAAGTTAAGTAAGAATATGACTGAGATCACAATAGGATGCATGCATTTCCACAAAAACTTAACACAAAATAACAAACAAAAAGCCATTCTTAATGGTGTGTGAACAAAAATGTTGACCTGTGTCTGTAAATGACTAGAATAAAACAGTAAACTCTCTAAATTTTACAGTCAAGCACTTTTAGGGTTTAAATGATTGGTGGATTCCATCTTCTCAGAATGGCTCATGTTAGGTGGTGGTCTGTGTTTAAGGGTTGGTGTTAAAAATCTGTAAAAATCTTTATATCCCACTTGTTGAGCTTTGTTTCTCCTTTCATCTTCAAATGCTATATATCGGACTTCTCTTTCTATTACTGAAACAAAAACAAAAATAGAAAGATAAACCTTAAACATCTAGTGTAATGGATTGAGATGCATGTCTATGAAATTCAATACTAGTATTGACAATTATGTAATTTCAGTGAAGCACCATTACTTCAGGGCAATGTAATAAGTTAAATCCCACCTATGTCTGGTTAACTTAGGGGAAAGGTGCCTGCTATTTAATATAAATGCAGATGAAAATGCCTGAAACCTCTTGAAAAACCCAAGACAAGATTATAAATTATAGATTGCTTTAATCTTCCTCAATTGTTCCGACACTTTCTGTCTATTAATCACACAAAAGCTGGCCTGTTATTGATTTAGGGGGAATCTGTTATGTACATTCCTCTCCTTAGTTAAAATTTTAGTATTATTTTGGTCCCTGAGAAGATCCATAAATTCAATTATATTGCAGTGCCTCTTCCTTTGCCTTAGACTTCTTGGGTATTAATATTTTCATCCAGATATTGATGAAGAGAATTGACTACATAAAGACACATTGGAATTCGATATTTTTTACTAATCTTTTGAAAACAGGGATTAGAACTCGTGATAAAACATTTTAAGTGCCAGTTCATTTTGTGTGAATTTATTGAACATTTTAAGAATTATCAGACAACTGAAACGGTAGGGACAAGTAAGAAAATCATTCAATGGTGATAACGTTAAAGCGGAATACATACTATCTGCATTTATCTTGGGCCAAAGGATACTAAACACATAAGTATACTTCAGATACTAGTCATATCAGTTAAAACAAAGTATCATACTTTGATTAAATACACCTTAACTTTAGAACTTAATACAACTACAATAAAGAATTCAGGGTGAAATATACATGTTCACATAAACTTTTAATGCAAAGAAAAGATTACATATGTACCCCTCCCCCCCTTTCATCTGAGGAGAAACTTACGTTCTGGAGAAGGTAGCGTGTTATGGATTTCCGTGTTCGATTTCCTAAGGTTGCCATAGAGATTAAATTTCCTAATTTCTACTTGAACACTTGGTGGTCTAAATATTCCTGGGATAACCAAAGTCTCCTCCGTCCGCGGGCGCTGTCTGCCCCGCCGGGTCTCTAGAAATAGCCGAGATCTGTCTGGGAAATAAATAAATTAATCAAATTAATAAATCAATTTACATTTCCTTAAAAAGAGTGCTCAAGAAATATTGGAATTCTTATAAAAATGAAAACAAGTCAATGCACCTCTATAATTCATAATTTTAAAATTGATCTTTTAATATGCATGCACAACATTAAATGCAACTAACAATTGCAAGATTACAAATCAAATCTACTTACCTCTTGATATGTCGGGGAATTTTATGACCATTTCTACCCCGATAATTAAAATGGTTGCGTTTGTAATTTTACCCACGAGTTTTAACGATCCGACATAGTAATTTAAAAAAAAAATCTGGTAAGTAAAAGATCACATTTCCGAAACCAAAGATTTATAAACTGACGCGGAATTAAAAGGTCCACCTAAGTCCTAATGCTCTTTATTGCCAGCACATTAAAACGGCTTAAATGTTAGGATTTTAAAACTTAACTGTTTACCCGTTGTTAAAAAGAGTTACAGTATATCATAAGCGGGGTAAATCAAACAATGGCGCTAAATGATTCTGGTCTTTATAAGATTTATGGCTTTTTAAGTGAACATATCCACACCGTGCGCTTACAGACAAACAAATGTCAATACAATGTCCGAGAAGCCCTTTCTGTACATGTATATTGTCAAACCCGCTGCTGCGCTCCAGGCTCATTTGCAAACCTTGCTATGTAAATACACATTTAGAACAAAGAGCCTTTACAGGTTTATTTTCTGGCCATCCATTGATTGGAGTTGCACGTAGACTATTATAATAAAAGAAATCCGTGTCAATATTTTCTCTGCTGTAACTTCAATTTATACCGGGTTTAGGCAAATACAGTTAAATCCGCTCTCAAATGGTAAAGTTCGAAATAATTACTGGAGGTCCTATTTTTTCCTTTGTATCTTGTTTATATGTTAACTGAACGGCGCTACTTTCTAAGACTACCAGAGGGGGCTTTGTTTGCAAAAGAATGAACAACAGAAACATGGTCAGAAATCGAAATCTTTTCGACATTGTTATTACATATTCAAACATAAAATAGGACCTGCCTCCTTCCTAGGGATGTGTATTTAAAGTCACATTTGAAAAATATATTCTTCCGTATCTTAAAAAAAGGAATTCGTATAAAATGCATGTAGTTATCACCCCTTGCAACGGATTGTAGAGGATATAGTGAAGCGCTTGTGTGTGGGTTAGTTTGCACTAGTGAGCATAACAATAGTCACGAAACTTGCCGTGGGGACTGACGTCGAATGCTGCCTTGATTTATATAATGTACTCTTTTGTGCCGGGGTCAAATGCTGGTATGGGTCTTGAGGGATGACACTAAATGTCACTAGGTGTCATCACAAAAACCTCGAGTCAATGCACACGGTCTCAAATAGATTCTGCCAGCTAGTCACATGTCACACCTCCACATTTGGTGACCATTGAAATGCTCAGGCAGCTGAGTGACAGTGGCAAAAAGGCGAGTCTCCGGCGCCTTTTAGAACCAGTGACTAGGAAAGGAAAGCCCCAACAGAAAACCACCGGTCCTCCGGGTCCAGGGGGTTGGGCATGGGGCTAGCAACTCCATCCCATAAAAAACCTATGCTACAGAAACCGCAACAACACCACAACAAGTTCGAGACCTAGATCTGGAAGATGGCTTTCAAGAAGAGCTCATGACGTGTTCAGGTGGGAGACATCAGGAAGCCAGTTCACTGACAAATCCTCTGTCGATGAAGGCAAAAACTAGGATAGGGACCTGGAATATCAGAACCCTATACGAGGTAGGAAAATCTGCCCAAATAGCTAAGGAGATGAAAAGATATTACACCAAGGTACTTGGATTATGTGAAGTAAGGTGGAATGGAAGAGGACTAGTCTGTTTTTAATCAATAAAGACCATAATTTATGCAGAAAATAAGAAAGAGGACCATGCACACACTGAAGGGGTTGCCTTAATGTTGTCACCAGAAGCATTAAAACCAATGATAGCGTGGAAATCAGTGTCATCAAGACTCACATCAACCAGATTCAATTCCAAACGAAGGAAGGTAACCACCATTCAATGCTATGCACCAACAAATGCAGCAGAGGAGCAGGAGAGAGAAGAATTTTATTCTGACCTACAGTAATTGATAGACCGTGCATCCTGCAGAGATATGAAAATTGTGATGGGAGATTTGAATGCGAAGATGGGAGATAACAACAGAACAAAGAACTCATCATTGGAAAACATGGCATCGGTAACTCAAATGACAATGAAGAACTATTTACAGATTTCTGCACTTTCAGTGTTGTGGTCATAGGAGGTACCATCTTTCCTCACAAGGAGATACAAAAGACAACCTGGATTTCCCCCGATGGAAAGACAGAAAATCAAATACTAGTAGATCATACCCCGGTATCACTATCAAAGTTCATCATGCGAAAGTGGAGAAGAAGTATGCTAGATGTCAAGACAAGACGAGGAGCAGATGCAGCCTCAGATTACCAACTTGTTACAGCTACGCTGAGGATGAAACTCAGAGCATTCAAAGACAAATCTAACACACCGCACTACAAGTTCAACATCCAGTTTCTTAAAAACAAAGAGAAGAGAGATAAGTTCAATATTGCAAAAAAAAAAACCAAAAAAAAAAAACAACAAGTTTAAAGCACCAGAGAGTCTTGCAGAGGCAACCATAGAAGATCATTGGGTAAAGCTCAAAGACACTTGGAAAAGTGCATGCTGTAAAATTCTAGGAAAGAAAACAAGGGAAAACAAAGAGTGGATGAAACAAGATCATGGGAAAAAGTGGGGGAAAGGAAAGAATTGAAGCAAAAAATAAACCAATGTAAGAATACTCAACAACTGGAGAAACTGAGAACAGAATGTAGAAAAATAAACAAGTCAAAAAGAGTGCTTGGAATGACAAAAGACAGTTCGTCCATGACATGACTAAAGAGGCAGAGAGAGAGAGAGAGAGAGAGAGAGAGAAAAAGAGAGAGAGCAGCTAGACAGAACAACATGAAAAAGCTCTATGAAATACTAGTAACCAGAACACTCTGGAGAAAAAAATCTAAAAATCCAACAGCCCAGTGAGGGACAAACATGGCAAAATTATTACTAGCGATGTAGGACAAAGAGCTAGATGGATGGATCACTTTAAAGAAGTTCTAAATCGACCACCACCACCCAGTCTTGCAAATATACCACCAATGAAAGAAGAACTTCATATCAATGCAGGACTACAATCTAGAATGGAAATCACAAAGGCTTTAAAGAATCTGAAAAATGGAAAGGCAGCTGGTCCAGATTGGTATCCCTCCTGAGGCATTCAAAACTACTCTAACAAAATCGGCAGAGATGTTACAACAACTTCTGCAAAAGATATTGGAAAAGGAAAAAATACCTGATGGATGTGTGAAAACTACCTTAGAAAGGGAACCTGTCGCAGTGTGGAAATTGGAGAGGCATCATGCTTTTGTCCATTGCCAGTAAGATTCTAATAAGAATAATGTTGGAAAGAATGAAAGGAGCATGGGACAAGAAGCTAAGGTCAGAGCAAGCGGGGATCACATTGCCACACAACGCAGTATCATTGAACAGTCCATTGAATGATAGCCCCCTCTTTACTCAATCTTCATGGACTTTGAGAAAGCCTTTGACAGTGTGGACAGGTCAACCATCTGGACATTAATGAGGCATTATGGAATTCCATCAAAGTTCATAAGTGTCATCAGAAATCTGTATGATTATGCCACCTGTCATATCATCCATAATGGGAAGCTCACAGATCCGTTCAATGTGAAAACAGGAGTACGGCAGGGCTGCATCCTGTCACCCACCATATTATGATAGTTATTGACTGGATCAATCAGGAAACAACAAAGGGCAGTAAAAATGGAATCCAGTGGACCTTCCCAAAACAGCTTGAGGAGTTGGATTTTGCACATGACTTTGACCTGCTCTCGCACAGCTACAAGATGCTCAAGAGAAATGACCAAGATTGGAATCAGAAGCCCAAAAGACTGGCCTTAAAATAACTACTAAGAAAACAAGGCGATGAGAACTACTAACAACAAACAATAAACATCAATTTAGTTACTAATCTTGGAAGTATTGTCAACAAGGATGGTGGAGCAGATGACGTCAAAAGCAGAATTAATAAGAAAGACATGCTTTCCATACCCTCAGACAAATCTGAAATTCTAAAGCTCTCTCCATCAACAGCAAAATCAGTAAAAAGCAGTTCTCTAATATGGTTCCGAGAAAAATTAACTAAAACAATAAACAACAAACTACAGTCTTTTATCAACAAATGTCTCCACCATATCCTTAACATCAGATGGCCTGAGACCATATCAAACAACAACCTATGGGAGAGAACCAATCAAAATCCTGTAGATATTGACATCAAGAAGAGAAAATGGGGCTGGATAGGCCACACTTTACGCAAACCCTCAAACAACATCACTAAACAAGCTCTGGATTGGAATCCACAAGGAAAGAGCAGGGTTGGGAGACCAAGGCAAACCTGGAGAAGGTCTGTAGAAATGGATGCAAAAAAGGCAGGATTTACCTGGACCCAATTAAAAAAACATAGCCCAAAGCAGAGTCCGATGGCACAGTGTGGTTGCGGCCCTATGCTTCCCAAGGAGTGAACAGGAATAAATCAAAGATGTCACTCTTTTGCACCACTTTGTGATATCATTTTTAATACCGATGTATTGTACACAACGTACTAAAATGTTTGGTTTTGTGCGGAACAAAATAAACCTGAAACAGAGAAATTCCAAAGGAACAAAGATGCCTAGTGATGCCTCGCGTTTTGAACAGATATCAGAAAGCCACCCCTCCCCCTTTTGCGCTACGGCTTATTTTCAAATCATCAGATTTATTTTGGTTTGTTTTTTTAACGTCCCTCTCGAAAATTTTTCACTCAAAGGAGACGCCACCACTTGCCGGTGGAAAGCTGCAATTTTTCAACAGCAAGGTGTTTTTTTTCGGGCCAGCATCTACTGCAACACGGGACCTCAGTTTATGCGAAGGACCAGTCTCCACGTCCCACTGTGGGATTCGAATCCACGACGTAAGGATCAATCTTTACTTCGTCACTCTAGAGGAGACGCTCTAACCACTGCGCCACGCGGGCGACAAATCATCAGATTGAGTGAACAAATTGGGCATCTCAAAATTAAATGCTTAAAGCTTATTCATCAGTAAATGAATTTTATATATTTGATTAAAATATGAAGATAACGAACATCATTAAAGCTCAAAATACCATTCAAACAATAAAAATCAGGAATGGGCAAACAGCCACCTCTCAGACATAGAGTCAGGTGCTATGGAGGAGTGATTTCTCCTGCCGACCGGGCACACCGCCGAGTACTTCTTGTCATGATTGGAAATTATCAGAAAGATAAGTGTGTAAATAATGGCCCAATAAAAACTATGAAAAAAAAAATCAGTTAACATTCGACTTAAATTATAGATTAAATTTGCTGACAAGGCCAATGTGACTGTGTCGCCCACAAACCTTGCGAAATGGTTACTTTAAACGACAATGTTGATATTCTGGTTTCATCAACATGTTTTTCTATAGTTTGCCTCGTTATATATATTTTTTCTAAGTAGAATATA